TCGGCGGCCAACGTGACGCATGCGCAATGCGGGGTGAAAGAAAATAATAACAATAACAACAGCAGAGGGAGTGAAAGAAAAACAATGCGAATGCCAACAAAAAAAAAAAAAAACAATACTCGGCATACTCCCGGTCCAGCCAGTGCATAAATCAAACAACAATTTACGCTCAAACATGATTATTATTTATACATTTCAGCAATGTGTGCCTGCAACACATAAGCCACAGCCGCACATCCAGTTGGGCATTGCAAAAGATCGGTGTGTTAGCCTGCCCGCCAGCGAAGTAAAAGTAAACGCTTAACAAAGTAACTAGCATTAGACAAAGGCAAATAAAAATAAAAAAAAAAAAATAACAAAAAATTAAAGAAATAGGCAAAGGCACAGAGCGCTAAAGCAAATAAAGCAACACCCACCAGCGGCGCTGAGCGATTTCGAAAAAAAATGCTGATATCAACGTAAGTAAATTCGTAAATTTTGTGGTTAAACGTGCAGAGATTACGGCCATAAATTGCAATCAAGGCAATAGTTTCGCGCTCCCTTTGACCCACCTGATGTGTTGCCTGACCCACATGGGACCAGTCAGCGGCAGTCAATCGCCGCCCTCGGCATATCAGTCATTGGTGGGGATCATCATCGGTTTTGTCTTCCAGTTTCCTGCTGTCAACGCCCCGATCTCGGCTTTAACACTTGTCTTGTCGACCCATTAAAATTGCATAATCCCAGGCCGCGAAGCGACTTTTGCTGCCTTTGATTTGGCTTTTCCAGCGCTTCGCCCTTTTGTGTCTTTCCCGCCGCTTTTGGCCATAATTTGTGTGTGGCTTTTTTCAGTCTTCTCTGTGTTTTTACATATTGGCGAGCCCGAAGCCGAAACCGAGCCGAGCGAAAAATGCGACCGCATTTCTCGGCGGGGCGAACAAGTTTGTAATTATGTCAAATACCAAAAGGCTCATTGCATAATCCCCAGAGCCGAATCGAAAGACATTGCGAATTCGTCTTCTTTGGAACATCATCTCCACTTGAGCCGCACTCGATCCAAGTGAAGATGAAACAATATCTGTCCTCCGACACCTTCCTCTATACACAAAGTCTCATGACGGAGAGTCCACTGATTTATTTGGCAAATGTCTGTCATTCGAATGGCTTCCTCGTTAACTCAAGAATAGAAGCCTCTTAATTGTCGGCCAACAAAACAAACCGCGCAAGTACAACAAAAGTCAATTACACGACATTTGCATCTTCCGCGTGTGGCAGTCACTTGTATGGAAATGGCTAAGAGGTGTTTTGCCTGCCAATAAACAGCCGGCTTCGCTTGGAAATTCCCAAAGAACCAAAGGTATTTACTACCATATTTCCACCGGGGATCGGTGTGTTTAACATTCAGCTCACTGAGCCGGCATTGTTGCGTGACAGAGTCTGGAAAACAGGAACAGCTTGGGTCGCCAGATAATGCCTCTCCCTGGAATGATTACCGGCGATTAGGTGGTTCAATCATCAATGAAATTGCGACATGAAATGCCTTACCTACGATTGTTAAGTAAGGCAGCTTTCTTTAGCTGTTTTACTGTACTAAATTTATGGTATATTCTAATGATTTTCATATAAAACATATTACAAGACATACCTTTAAATATGCTGAATAACTTGTGATAAAATATGTTAAAGTAAAAGATGTTTTCATATCATGATTTCAAGATTTGTCATCTTATCCGGTTTTCCTTCTCGACTTGAGCTGGTATGAGCTCACTCTCTCTTTAGTGGGAGTCACTCTAAACTTTGACTGCCTCCCTTTTTTTATTTTATTTTAAACTATTCGCCATGATAATTACACATTCTAAAGTCCGTGTTTTTGTATTTTTACGGCGAGCAAAGGGCGGCAAGGAAAATGTGTCAGTTGTGAGGGGAAGCTAGTTCCATTAGTGACATATTGATGATTTGCGATCCGGTTAGAGGGGGAAATGACGCCACAAGTGACTTTTTTTTTTGAGTTTCCAACGTTGAACTCAAAAGATGAGTGCCTTCGAACAGCTTTTTAGTGTTTTCCCCAGCCGGTGTTGACAAACCCTCTTCGATTCTCACGCCCTGTCAGCCGGGGTGCGTCGTCTATGGGAGAAATCAACCGAGAAAAGTCCCCAAAAAATGATATGCGGGCTCGTGCTGGGCAGCTGCATGCATAAATACCGCTCTAATAGTTAATTAAATTATCAATAAGCAAAACAAACCATAGGCAGGCCCAAATTTCCAGCCATAAATGTCAAGCTCGGCGAGTGAGAAGAGGAGGAGGTGAAAAAATGTCTGCTTTTTGTTGTCATTATAAAAAACTACCTGGCCTGACCTTGTCCATTGTTAACTGTGCACACCACACACCACACACCACACACACACTGGCAGTGGTTTACGCAACCAGCTATAGCACAAGTGTGTGTGTTTTGTTTGGCTTTTGGCTGTGACTAACTCCGGCACAATACGCAAATCGAAAGACTCAGGCAACGAACTTGAAACACATTTCGTCAACCGGCTGGAATTGCAGCATGGCATTTCTGAGCGCGTCTCGGCTTCGGTTTCGTATTCAGAATTCGTTTCGATTGGCCCAGCCCCGAAATGTTGTCAGGCGCATTATGCAAATATTTGATAGGCCGCATAATAAAGCTACTTAATTTTCACTGCAAACCCCGGTGCTATTGGAGGATGTTTGCTCGCCACTCGACCGTTGGGCAATGGCATCGCATCCCATCACCCATCATCTCGCGTGCCTTATAAAAAATGCAAATATTTGCCTCCGATCCGTATATTTATCTTAACGAGAAGTAACGCAATCGATTAGCAAAAAAAAATAAAACTCGGAGACCAAGACCAAATCGTTTTTCGAAAGCACCGCATCAGAGCCGAAAACAACAACATTTTGGGGATCGAATGCGTTCAATCAGTGACCTTGAACTAGTTTCCCCCTCCCACCAACTTATTTATACATATGTGCTTATTTTCGGTGTTTTTGTTTCGTTTCTCGTTTTGCTGCTGCTGCCATGACTGGTGTGTGTGTGTGTGCTAATGATATGAAATAGCTCGCAGTCAAAATATGTTAAAAAGGTGCGAATGTGATTAATTGCAGGCAATTATGAACTTTCTTCCCACCGTGGCTAACAATGCAGCTAACCTTGACCCAAAACCCGGCACCAAGCACCAATCTTGGCCTACCGAATGTTTGATGCGATGCAGGCCAAAAAATAAAAATAAAACTGCATGCGGAATTGCATAATAATGCAAATGCAAACTTCGGCTTGCATATTTGCCCAATGGCCGACCAACTTGGCAGTGGTAGTGGTACTGGTAGTGGTGGTAATGTTGGGCAATCGGCCAGATCAGGTCCGACTTCGACCAGGCCTGGCCGAAAGCAGTACGGTTTTACTTTGCAGCTCAACTCCAACTTCGGGCAAAAACCGCGCGTTGGGCAAGACGACTACGACGACCACGACGAGTGCCGGACCAAGTATCAATATTGAAATGAAAATGAAAAGTGTTGCCGAGCTAGTCAGTCCATTGTTATTGCCGTCTCTCAAAGTTTTATGCCATTTTTGTTTTTTTGTTTTGTTTTTTTTTTTGCAATGTGTGCCGCTGACATAGTTTCGATGGCAACCCATTGAAGCATACGGCGCCGGTTCAGATGCTAATTCGATCGTTATGCAAATCGCAATATGCGACAGCAGGAAGCTGTCACTAGTAGTTGACCAATACTAATAATAATAATAATAATAATTCTAAAAGTATATTTAGCTACCAGCAGAGATGGAACCAGTTATGCCCTTCATTACCATTTTCCACTATTTACTCGGACTCACTAACACTTTTTACAACTCAAGAGAGATTTATTATTGAAAATTCTGGTTATTTAAAGTAGCAGAGCCTGTCATTTTTGTATATTAAAAGATTTAAGTGGGTGTTTTTTACAAAGTTTGCGATGCGTCAAGTATTTTGGAATGGAGCAAATACTATACTATAATATACTATACTATAATAGTATTCAATAAATATAGAACAGTATTTGTTTTATATTATAGTATTTTTTTATGAAAATTAAAATAAAACGTAGCTTAAACTGAAACGATTTATAACTGTCACTACTATGCAAATTAATATAAAACAAGAAATGAAACTAACTTTGTGAAGCCAAAGTTTTTATACCCTTGCCGTTAGCCATTTAATAATAATATAATACAATAATAATTACTAAGCCAAAAATGAATTAATCTCGTTTTGAGAAGCTGTACTGAGTTGGGTTTTATTAGAATACCAGCATATTAGGCTTTAATATTTAAAATAAGACAATTTTTTCGGCGAATCCAAATATTTGAAAAATCATAACTAAGCCAAAAAAGCATTAATTTTAATTCAGAATCCACTCCTATGTTAGTTTTTAGTAGTTTAACAAACCTACATACTCAGGTTGAAATTTTAGAAAATTCAATTTTTTGTTAAAATTTGACAATTTTAATGATGTAACCCCTTATAAAATTTTGCAACATTTTTGAAAATTTCGATTTCTTCAAAACATGGTTAGATCGATTCACCTGTCGATGCTGAACAAGAATATATATGATTTATAGGGTCGGAAATGACTCCTTCACTTGGTTTAAAGCTTTTGACTATCATTATAATACCCTGAAAGTGTATAATTAATAGATTAATTATTTGCACTGACAACAGTTTTTATAACAACCGAGTTATATAGTTCAACACTTATGAGTACATAATTAATTATTTTGTTTATTATTATTTATCAAAACAAAGGTATTTCATAAAGTAATTACACTGAAAACGATATATTTAATCTATAGATTTTCTGATAAATAATTGATATGTTATTTATAATTACCATTAACTTACACTTTGCATAGAAATAGGAAATTATTGAAATTTGCATTGAATGCTATTTACTTTAAATAATTATACCAAGTGACTTGCTTTTTCCCATTTCTAATCTTTGAACTTTGCTCCATTTCCAGCATTTCCACAGACTCCGCAATGGCGGCCACAAACAACGATGGCGGCACACAGCCCAATGCTGTGGCAGCTTGGGGAGCTCCCGCAAATGGACCCCGGAACACACAGGCGGCCGTATCCGTGCGCCACGCCTTTAAGGCGTACGGCAAGAAGAAGAACGCCAATCAGGTGCTAAACAACCTGAACATGACAGTGCCCAAGGGAACAATGTAAGTGAGATGCCTCAATCGGAGAGGAGATCTATGTTGTATGTATTATGTGGTGTGACGACGACCGTCATTAATAAAAGTGAAATGCTGACAGCACACTTAGCGAGCTCATAAAATAGAAACGGCGAAAGTAATTAGCACTTAATATGGGCTGAGCTCGAATTCGATATTAGATGTTCGATGTCAGGCAATGCGATTTCCTTGTGTTGGGGCTTTGATTGCCGGGCCCGACTCCAGAGGTCACTTGGATCTATAGTAATTGCGGCTATTATACGGCAAAACCAGTTTAGTTTAGTCATTGGACTATCTTGTAATTGAAACGGCATTTTTGCATGATAATTTCGATTGCGGCTGACGAGGGTCGTTAGGGAAGTTCGCTGGAAATGATCTCAATAAAGCCACTTCCGAATTGACGTCAATGACGTGGCCCCATCCACACGTCTTTCTAATTAAACACAAAAATCGATTCGTATGCCGGCCAACGCCTAATATTTGCTATATGATCCAATAGCTATATCTTTTGGAGAACGATATTCAAGATCGGTTTGTTTACCCGATTGTTTGGAGTCTACTTAATCCGTCTATAAGCATACCTATCTCTCCATCTCTGTCGCGGCACATGTGCTTAATTGAGTTCCCCCTCGAGCCCCCTCGATCCTCGGCATATGTAGCTTCTAGACCCCTTATGCGGTTCATGAATTTTTTGGCAAACATTTAGGGGCCATAAAAATAAAGTCGTAAATATATTTTTGCCTTCGCCGCCTTTGGCATTGATATGGCCCCAGCAGAGTTATAATAATTCATTTTTGTTTGTTACCAGTTTTGTTTCTTGTCTTTCGGCATTCTGAGTGATTTATTCAGCGCATTAATGCTCTCAGTGTCGTAACGGAATTTTATTCGATTCTAGCCAACAGTCTTGACCCAGTTAACAGCTGGTGGTTCGTTCAGCTTTGACCTAGGTCAGGTCGACGAGTTGTTTCTCATCTTCGAGAGCGTCGAGTCAACGAACTGCACGCCGCAGGCCAAATGGCTATTTGGGGGTCTCAAAGTCAGTCGCATTGACGACTACGTCAATTAAAGTCTTCCCGACGTATCAGGTCTCTTTTTTTTGTTTTTTGCCTCTTGTTAAATTCGTTAAATGGCGCACCGTGTTAATTATAATAATAAATCCAATAACAGGCTGAAAACGTGCGACCTACGTGGCTGCAAAATATTTTGTCAAAGGCCGAAAACCAAATGAAAATAGACGACAAAATAACAAAGCGATAATCACAATAATCGCCGCAGCTCCAAACTTCATCATGACAATACTAGACTGGGGGCTAGGAGCTACTCCACCTCCAAAAAAAAAAATAAAAATAGAGGCGGAGTCGCTGCGAAGAGACCCGCGAGTATTTCTTACATTTCAAGGTGAACATTTCGGAATAATTCAACTTGAACTGCTGGAATTAGCATTGACATCGCCGAACTGCCAGTTATATAGATATATATACATATAGTTGAGTCTGTTGTTGTGGCGACAGTTTTCGTGCTGATCTGGCAAAATGTTTTCCCCCCTTTAAGCACATTTTTCGCCCATTTCTTTTGGTCTTGGTCACGGTTGGCCTCTTGACCTTTACGACCCCAAATGAGGCAGCAAACAGCTGACTAAGCATATAACTTGAGACCTTAATATAATAGCATTTATTGTTTTTACTGAATATTTACAAATGGAAACTAATCTGTAAATCCTCTTCCCAGCTATGGCCTTCTGGGAGCCTCGGGATGTGGCAAGACCACATTGCTTTCCTGCATTGTGGGTCGTCGTTACCTGGACTCCGGTGAGATCTTTGTGCTGGGTGGTAAGCCCGGCACTCGGGGATCAGGTGTTCCTGGTAAACGCGTGGGCTATATGCCCCAGGAGATTGCCTTGTATGGCGAGTTCTCCATCCAGGAAACTATGATGTACTTTGGCTGGATCTTTGGCATGGAGACCAAGGAGATCATGGAGCGTCTGCAGTTTCTGCTCAACTTCCTCGATCTGCCCTCGGAGAAGAGGCTGGTGAAGAATCTGAGCGGTGGTCAGCAGCGACGAGTGAGCTTTGCCGTGGCCCTGATGCACGACCCCGAGCTGCTGATCCTTGATGAACCCACCGTGGGCGTGGATCCGCTGCTGCGTCAGAGCATCTGGAATCATCTGGTGCACATCACCAAGGCCGGACAGAAGACGGTCATCATCACAACACATTACATTGAGGAGGCGCGACAGGCACATACGGTAAGTGAATCACATTAATTAAAAAGTAAACCTATATTATAATTGTGCAACTTCTATGCCTGATAGATCGGTCTGATGCGATCGGGTCACCTGCTGGCCGAGGAGTCCCCCAGCGTCCTGCTCTCCATGTACAAGTGCATCAGCCTGGAGGAGGTGTTCCTTAAGCTGTCCCGCATCCAGAGCCAGAAGGGTGATGTGACCCACGTGAACTTCAGGTAAGTCTCCCGCCCTGGAACTAGCATGCACACCAAAGTGGCTAACCCTTCACTCACTTATCTTATCACCACTCCGAACTCTGAACTCTGACCTCTCGCGACTCCAAACACCGACTCCTCCTCACCATCCAACACTCGCATGCTCGCAATCCGTGTTCCACCCCATCTCTATGTGTGTGTTTGTGATCATTCCGGGAGAGTAGTAACAACATCTCGTTGCACGCCATGGCCTTCGGCAGCAAGATGGACAAGCCCAGCTCCAGCCAGGAAGGCGGTGTTGTGGGTCTCAACTTCCACCAGAGCAAGGAGGTGCTCATCAACGACAGCAATGGATCGATCTACACGGTTTGTTTTGGCTATCTTCAGGTGAATGTGTTCCAAGACTCACTCCTTTCACTCTTTCCGTGATAGCTCAACCAGGAGCCATATAGCCCGCCGCCTTCGCGGCGGAACAACAACCCCAATGACGAGGAGAGCTGCCAGGACTGCTACGCCAGCCTGTGCAAGGTCACCTCCAAGGGCAAGATCCGTGCTCTGCTGACCAAGAACATGCTGCGCATGTGGCGCAATGTCGGCGTGATGCTGTTCATCTTCGCCCTGCCCGTCATGCAGGTGATCCTCTTCTGTCTGGCCATCGGACGTGATCCACAAGGCCTTAATCTGGCCATAGTCAACGGGGAAATGAACGACACGGTAAGGAACACAATATTACATTGTTAGAAGTAGAGGCACAAAAAACAAATTATACACAAAAAATTTTTGCACTGTGGGACTTGGAAAATGTCTAAAACATATATTTTGATTTATATTTCATACAACAAAGGCTTATTGAAATTAAAATTGGTTCATAGACAAATATAAAAATTAAAAAACCTTAAGCAAAGTAAATAATAGTTTAAAAGATTCGTTTTTTTTTCGTTTGTATACCCTTTTAGGGTATTTGAAGCTTGTAACGCGGTGAAGGAGTCATTCCGACCCTATAAATCATATATATTCTTGATCATCATGAAAAGCTTAATCGATCTAGCGATGTCCGGCAAAAATTAATTTTCTTTCTAAATTTTTTAAATTTTCAAAATTTTGTAAGGGGGTTACATCGTTAAATAGTGAAAAATTGGCAAAATTTTGAATTTCTCAAAGAGTGATATTGAGTATGCAGATTTATTAACCTAATAAAAACTAACATAGGAGAGGTTTCTAAATTAAAATTAATGCATTATTTCCATAGTTATGAGTTTTTTAAACTTTATTTTGTCTAAAAAATTGTCATTTAAAAATATTGATTCAATGAATGTAAATATTTTAAACTTAGTTATTATCGATTTCCGATACGATCCTATAATTCAATTATAAACTGCAAGGGTATATAAACTTCAGCATTACATAGCTAGTTTTCCTTCTTGTTTGAGGAAGTTAATATAAAATTACTATCTTTTTAGAAGTCGAACACTGCAGAACTATATAAACCACTCAGTATCCAACTGACTTGCAACTTTATAAATCCATTAATTAACTTGACTTTAATTCCATGTAGGACCACTGCTTCTGGGAGGATGGCTGCCACTTCAAGAACCTGGGCTGTCGCTATCTGAATCATCTGAACACGAGCGTAGTTAAGACATATTACACGGACCTGGAGGATGCCAAGGAGGCGGTGCGGATGGGCAATGCCTGGGGAGCTGTCTACATTAGCGAAAACTTTACGGACGCCTTCATCGCACGCTCCAATCTGGGACGCGACGCCGACGACGAGACCATCGACTCCTCGGAGGTGAAGGTCTGGCTGGACATGTCCAATCAGCAGATCGGCGTCATGCTCAATCGCGACATCCAGCTGGCCTTCCGTGACTTTGCCATGGGTCTGCTCGGCCAGTGCAACTACAATCCCAAGCTCGGCGACGTGCCCATTCAGTTCAGGGAGCCCATCTATGGCACCATGAATCCCTCGTTCACCGATTTCGTGGCACCTGGCGTGATCTTGACGTAGGTCTCCCTGCTGCCCATTCAGCCATATGAGTGTGTCATTAATTCATTTTATTTTTGTATTTCTCCATAGCATTGTGTTCTTCTTGGCTGTCGCCTTGACGTCATCGGCTCTGATCATTGAACGTACCGAGGTAATAATTTATGATCTATTTATACGTTGTTGCAATGTTAATTGTGCGACTTATTTCAGGGCTTGCTGGACCGCTCCTGGGTGGCTGGTGTGTCGCCCGGTGAGATCCTCTTCTCCCATGTGATCACCCAGTTTGTGGTGATGTGTGGACAGACCACTCTGGTGCTGATCTTTATGCTGGTGGTATTCGGGGTGACCAACAATGGCGATCTCTTCTGGGTGATTGTGCTAACACTGCTGCAGGGCATGTGCGGCATGTGCTTCGGCTTCCTCATCTCCTCCGTGTGTGAGCTGGAGCGGAATGCCATTCAGCTGGCGCTGGGCTCCTTCTATCCCACCCTGTTGCTCTCCGGCGTGATCTGGCCCATTGAGGGCATGCCCGTGGTGCTGAGGTGAGTCCTTGAATCCCACATAGTTTCTTTGTATTAACTCTTTTGGTATCCTGCAGATACATTTCGCTGTGCCTGCCGCTGACGCTGGCCACATCCTCGCTGCGCTCCATCCTGACACGTGGCTGGGCGATATTTGAGTCCGATGTGTATATCGGTTACCTGAGCACGCTCTCCTGGATCCTGGGCTTCCTGATCCTGACGCTTCTCGTGCTGCGTGCCAAGCGCGGCTAAGGGACCAGCCTACTTTTAGATGCGTACTTTAGATTGCGATTAGTCGTCCTAGTTAGTTACCCCCTACTTCGGCTTCCCCTCCCCAGCTTTCGACCCGATCCTTTGTATCCTTCGTATCCTGCGAGCCCCCAGATATTCCTGTCTTCTGCCTAAATGTCATAAATTATTTAAGCACATACGCAGCTTTCCTTAGCTTTCTACGCGGCACTCCCCCCTGCTAGGCTAAGATTCACACATTTCGTAGTTTAAAGCGTAAGGTTTAGGTACCTAAATGAATTGTTTGTAAATATTTTGTGTCACGAATTATATCTGTAATTCATTCCGTTGCTCTAGATGTCCATTACGTGCAACCTCTGTTCTAGAACTTCTTGATTCCGAAACACAACTTATTTTATATATTTTTCAATGGACTGTGATTGTTTTTTTCTTACATATTGCACGCGAGCACACGTAAGGGCAAGCATAAAGAAAAACAAAAAGAAAACACAAGAAAATCGAACAAAAAACAATGGTGGGTTTTGTTAGTAACATTAAGTAGCTTAAAGCATTTTTGTATGGGTTTAAGTTTTTTAAGGTAAAACATAATTAAATACAATAATGTACCCTGTACCCCCTACCCTAAAGAGTATGTAAAAAGTATATATTTCAGGAAATATTATGCATCCGGCATAAGTATTTCGCAACGAACTAAAACAAAAGACATTGAACAACGAACAAGTGAATGAACGTTCTTATTTAAGTAAATCATTAACTATGTGAACGCAGTTATGTATAAATAACAATAAAAATCTAAATAAAGAACCAACGTCATTTAATTTAAATTGATAATCAATGATTTTCGAAGTTTTCTTCAGAATTTTGATATTTTTTAATTTGGCAAAATGGCAGAGGGGCACTTAAAATCAAGCAAATCTTTAAACTTCAACCTATATTCATATATTCTAGTTATTTTCAGAGAAGTTTTATATGTTATTTTACTATTTAAAGTATATGAAAAATAAATCCTAAAATCTTAGAAAATAATTTTAAATTGTAACGTTTATAGCAACAACGGTTCGAATGCGCTATAAATTCTTAGCAAGGTTTCGCACCTTGTCTTGGTATATTTTAGTCCATTGGTATTTTATTATTCCCATGGTATATATTCGTGACCGAGACGCGGTCACACTGAAAACAAAACAAAAATAAAAGACAATGTTTTCCTTGTTTTTCTTCGTAAATAACGTTTTTTAACGTTTCTAAGGCACCAAAATGGAGATGTCGCGGTCCGGTGCCTACGACAGGTTCATCACATATGTGGATCAGCTGCGCAATACGGAATGCAGGTAAGTTTTCACCTGGATTAAAGTTTTGTTATGGGAGGGGACCGGCAACAGTTGTTTTTCCTTATGGAATAGATTTTAATGATAAAAGTTACAATTGTTACAAAAAGCTTTAGCTAAGTAGTTTTAGGATAGCACTCCTATTGAGTTGGCAACTAGAATAATGTATTATCTCTATAAAATAATGGCCTTCGATATGACGTCACTAATCACCTGAATCATTCACAGTCAAAAGCAGAAGATTACCTGCTTCCAGCAGATTGCCGAGTGCATCATGTCGCCTGGGCTAGCCACCCACATCAACTATCCTGCACACTGCGGCACGGCCACCAATGTGCTGCTGCTGTTCTGCGAGGACCTCGACTCGGTGGTGCGGATGAGTGCCGAGGAGAACCTAAACAGGATCTTTAGGGCGCTGGAAAAGACGCGGGTCAGTCGCATCCTCATGGACCTTTATGGCGAGATCAAGCGGAATGGCAATCAGAGGTGACCTAGCACTATTTTAGCCTTTAACTCTCCTTCTCAAGAACACAATTTCCCTTCTAGATCTCTAAGGATTTGCCTGAACCTATTCTCGTATTATGCGCCGCAAATTAAGGAGAAACACATCAAGTGGTATGCTGTACGACTTTTGCAATGCATGTCTACCATCTCCCAGCGCAAGGAGACGCTGCTGCAGGAAACGCTCTGCGACTTCGTCAAACACTTTGGTCGCTATGTGCAGCAGGGCCTCAGCGACAGCGAATCCTGCAAACTGTTCGAGGTGAGGAGCATTCACCCAATTAGCTTGCATCGACTTTCTAACTCCAGCCTGTGTTTGTCTTTACAGATATTCCTGGACAACATTGGCGCGGATTGTGCTGTAAAGCGTCGCTGCTCGGCCCAGAATTGCATCAGTCTGATTGAGCATGCCCGCAATAGGAGTCTCATGGCCAGGCACGGACTCGGCAAAGTGATGGGTAAGCGTCTGCAGAAACAGGAAATAAAAATCGAGATTAGAATAGGAAAGCGAAGCATTAAGTCTTATAAGCTTCTGAGCGAGTCAGGATATTTAATGGCTAATCCAATTCCAAATCCAATTCGGTAGACAGGCACGTAATCAAATACTACTGATATTAGGAAATATTGGCCTGATGCATTGCAATTTAATATTTTCTTAAAACCTACTTCACCCCGATATTGAAGGCTCTGTTCCTATATTTTCCTACTCAATAACAAGTTTTTAATTCCTTTTGGTAATCCATCTAGTTTAAATATAACCCATGTACTCTGACTAGATATTCAGTGCAAACTAATCCGCGATTCAATGACAAATCTCTTGTTATTGCTGTTGGACATTTATCGCATTTTCACTGGCGACATGTCCAGCCGAACACTCTTTATTCTCATCAATATTGAAAGAGGTGTTTAAAAAGCGTGTAACGGCCAAATGCTAAGCCCCACATATATCTGCATATATGTCTGTATGGTATATATATATATATAGTTATGCTTGCGCTAGCTAAAAATATTTTTAATATTCTAAAAAGCCGCAAATCCATGAAAAATCCCGTACCAGAATATAAAGCCATCGAGATGAGAGCGGGGAAAGAGAGAGGCTTTTGGGGTCTATCGAAAATCGCATTGTGAATGCAATCACAGTCACAGGTTTGTTTGTCTGTGGTCTGTGGGCGCTGGGAGGGCGTGGCCGTGCCAAAATAAAAGTAACTAGACAGTTGATATAAATTATATTTCTATATGACTGTTGGTTACCTCGCGAAATCGATCGACGTGCCATGGAATACTATATGTACGTATACATATATCTTTTTTGGGATTTGTTTTGATTTTAGACAGCGATACTGGGCGGTTTTTATTTTAGCATTTGCTGCAGCAATAGCGAACAAAACAAAAGTCATGGAAAATACTTCGAAAAGGCAAACACAAATCATTTTTTATTGAATTTTCATGAAAATATTATTGGCAAACATTCGACGAAGAGGTAAATGCACCTGAGTTACAGTTTCAATGGTTCTTTTTTATGAGCCATAGTTATGAATTTCGCCACGAGTGTGTGCTATTAAAGCGAAAAGCCCGGGAAAACTGGAAAACTAATTCATTAAAGCTGATTCATATATGCGAGTCTGAGCCTTGGACCCCATCTAAGCCCATATAAATTAAGCTTCGGCTTGACTTTACCTTTGCTCTTTTCTTGTCCAAATGTTTACCTTCAAATCAACTCCTTCAGTTCCTGTTCCGGAGCCCGCTGTCCCTCTACCGCCTGCCGGCCGCCTCTAGTCCTGTGTCAACTTTATGCCACTTCTCGGCAAAAGGCACAATGCCAGGCAACTCTTCAGCGCATCCTTATACAGTCTGGCGCCTCTTTTTATGGGCACCCATCACAGAAGCAGCCGCAGTAGCAGCAGTACTTGTGCTGCCTGCGTCCTGGCATGCCCCAACAAACAGACACAAAGTACGGTCCTAGTCCTAGTCGGATCCTAGACCTCAGAGCCCAGAGCTCAGAGCTCAGAGAAGCCGCCGCAGCCGCCCTCCGCCAGCTCCGTTTGTTTGTCTCCTCCGCCCGTAGACGAAATGAAATTTATGCACTTGGACACTTCCATGCAATAATTCATGCGAAATTGAATCAGATATTCATTCCTGTGCAGCTTTAAAGCGGATAATCAACGTTGTAAACAAATGCCGGCCGAACGGGAACCGAGAGAGTGGTAGAAAATCCAAACAGCTGCAAAGGGAGCATGGAAAATTTATGTTGCCAGTTGACTGATGCCGAGCTAAACAAAAAGTGCAAATTATTTTTCATGTCAACTGTGGCAACATAAATAGCCAAATGGCCAATTCATTCTCCAAAGTGGCTGCAGCTCTTTTGAGGATTTACTATAACCCAGATTGTGCAAGCAAAGCAAAGAAGATGCAAAGATTCTCCCAAGTAATAATGTCCATAAAATTGTAATTAAATGGGAGATGTAACGTGCCGGCGCTTAAATCATCTTGATTCAGTTATGATAGTGATTAGAAGTCTCCTTAACCAAGCACATCCTGTCGAAGGGATATTAATTGCAGTCTTTAAACGTGCCCAGCATGAATCTCCTTTTTTTTACCGCCCTCCCCTCCTGTTTGGGGCTCGCCAATTTTGTGCAGAAAGTTCCTGCGGCTTTTGCCGCAATTAATTGATACACATGGAAACAGGCCGCAAGTTGTGCTCGGAAAGTCACTTGGCTGCCACAAGGGCCATGTAAAAAGTTTCTTCGGCGAGAAGTGTTTTCAATTTTGCGCCCCAAAGGAAGAAAATGAAAACTAATTGAGTAACAAACTTCCAACATGGCGTTTTGTGATTGGTGGCGTATACGTAATGAAACGACAAATAAGCGGAGACAACAAGAACAAGAACTGGAACTGTGGGGCGTCTTAGCGGGAACTGCTGAGGATGTGGGTGTGGGTGTGGGTGCGGGATGCATGTGCATGTGTGCGAAGTCTATAAATATCAGATGGAAAGTTTTCAACGAGATAAATTTAATTGGAGGCAATTTGTTGCAAAACATATGAGGGAAAAGTTGCCAAGAACACGAAAGAAGTATGAACTGCAATTGGCCAGCCAAAGCGAAAGTGGGTAAAAAGGTATCGCTGGAATTGGCATTGCCATCGGTATAGCAATGGGAGTAGAGGATGTGAGTGGGCGTGGGCTATCCTTATCGGTTTGCTTATTGAGCAAATTGGAATTGCCAGCGCACGCTGCGCAAAAAGTTTGAAGAGCGTTTTTAATTTGTATTAACAGCAGCCATAAGTTTCTCTCCATTAACTAAGTTATTTCCCCACTCCTCTGTTCTTTCAGAACTCCTGCTGACGGATCAGCAGACCAGCAGTGTGCTGGGTTCCCTAGGACTGCTGCGTCTCCTCCTTCCGCAACTCATACGAGGCTACTCGGCCGCCAGCCAGGAGGATTCCGAGTCCTTGGCCGGTCAGCAGCAGCAGCAGCAGCAGCAGCAAAAGCATCTGAAGAGGCAACAGCTACAGCAACAGACAACGACCTCCGACTGCCGGCAAATTATTGAAATTTATGATTATTGTTTGCACCTGCTGAGCACGCAGCACACCACGAATCACGCCATCATAAATGCCACCCTGGAGGTCATCAACGGCATACTCCAGGCACTGGATGCCCCCTCCGATGGTCAGAGTCAAAGCCAGAACCCGAGCCTCGGTCAAAGTTTGCGCCAACTGTTGTGCAATCAACAACTGCAACACAATGAGTATTTGCGGCGAAGGAAATCATTAAAGAATCAAATATTCCAATTGAAAAATTACGAAGTGGCGACAAGTCAACAGCCACTGCAGGATGAGGTTGCAGATGAGGATGAGAATGCGGATGCGGATGCGGATGAGGACGAGGATGGGGTGACTGCAATGCAAATGAAAAAGAATTCAAATGCAAAACTGCAGCAGCCAAAGTGTCAACAGCAGCGGCAGGAGCAACAACAGCAAAAGCAACAGCAACTCGAGGTTGACAGCAGCTCGCTGGGAATTAATGCCGGAGAAGATGCCACGACCGAGGCTGCAAGTTCCGTCGCTGATGAAGGTATGGCAAATAAGGCAGAATGCAAGTCGAGATGCCTTGTGTGCTGGGGCTAAGTCAGAGGGTGGTGTGTGTGTGTGTGTCTGCACAGTCATGTGGAAATGTGACATGCTGACAGAGGATCAGGGCAACTTGGGGTGGGCAGGGGACGGGCGGTTGGGGAGACTAACCCACAGACAGACCATGCCGAAATCAAGAAAATTGAGCAATTGCACGGGCTGATGGAGACACCCACACAATGCACATATGAAAATTATTAGTGCATGCTTTTAGGCGGGGCGGCACATGCGGCAACGAGGTCAGGCCAAATTTGCATTTGCATTCGCCGCCAGCGGATTCCTGCACAAATATTTACACACATTGTGAGGCTAACCCCACACACTCTTTATTCCAGGGGCGAAGGCGCAGCGCGGGCACATTAGGAATGCCGCACGCAGCATCAGCGAGTGTGTGGCCTCCGTTGAGGAGCGACAGGGCGACGATGATGACATGGACGACGACGACGACGACGACGACATGGAGCTGCTGAGCGCCGAGTGTGATGACTTTACAACCCTGTCGCAACTAAATGAACAACGGTCGCTGTCAGCGGCCCTGCAATTGCCCGCAACAACTACGGGCGATAAACTGATTGATGTTGATGCCAATGTGGGGGGGCTGCCAAAACCGCAGCAGCATCAGTCATCTCTGCAGAATCTGCTCGCCGGCAGCGATGACAAATCCCAGCATTTGAGTGACATCGACAATGAATCTTTCAACAGCATCGATTTCGAAGCCGAAATCACAATTGCCGGCAGCTCTGCTGGCAAAGAGCAACAGCAACAGCAACAGCAGCAAGATCAGGCACATCCCACGGCGGATGGTTCCGGGGAATCCGAACCCGGCGACGCAACAGCAATTGGCACATTCTTCAACAACCTGCTGTCCCACTCCAATGCAGGTGAGTCCGCCATAACGACAACCAAACACATATAACCGAACAAATATTTCATTAGCGAAGTTCAAAGTCAGAGCAGAGCGAGTGGAAAACTATTTCCATTCGATGTTATTGCATTTCACGGTCCACCGCAGTCGCAACCGAATCCTGTTCGATTTTTGTTTTGTCTTTTCCGCCAAACAATTCCACATTTATTCGCAATATTCGGGCGAGGGTATTATTTGCATAATTGCGGCAGAACTGCCGACGTGACTCGCCGGCAAGCAATTGCACTTGCGATTTAATGAAGCGTAATTGTTGCCGCTGCAACTCGCAGCAATCGAGCAGCAATCTCTCAGCAGTCAGGTGAAATTTTTGGCAATTCGTGCACGGCATGTAACCGGCATGATTTGTCCCTACATAGAGAAAACAAATGTTTATGATATTGTTTATTGGAATAAATTGAGTAAAGAGGATGCTAGTTGAATATAATTCGTAGGATTGAATGTCAGTCCAGCCTCTGAGCAATAGAACTCCTCCTTTGGCTTTGGGATGAGAGTAAAATCTTCTTAAAAACTAATAAAAGGATATGTTATAGTCTTCGAAACAATACAAACTCCTTTGTTCATTGAATATTCCCTCTAAAATAGATTGTTTTCAACTTGATCTACCTTGTGAATTTCTTCAGGTGTACTCTAACATAAGAAGACCCTGGCATGCACTTTAATTTTAATGATATTTACTTGCTGTTCGTAGCATATTGATTGCATTGTCCTTGAGATAATTTATTTTAATATTTAAATCGCTTCGCTGCTCGACTGACTGGGTGAAGTCAACTCCAATCAGGGAGCGTCAGCCAAGTGCATATAAGTAGGCCCCGCTCCTGCTCCTGCTGCTGCTGATGCTTCCCTGACCTACAAAGCGGTGGAAGGACGCATGGCAGACTTGATGCCAGACCCATGTCCTGTCGTTAGTTAGTGCGCGAGGGGTGGGGGCTAGTAATAAACAAAGGAAATGTACTGCACTGAGCCGGAAGTACTAATTAAGCGAATGAGTTGTGGGCGGAGCAAAGTCCTGGCAAAGAGACAGCGAGTGAGTCGGAGGCAGGGCCATATAAAAACCCACATCTACTTGACGTAAATGTTGGGCTTAAATCCGGCATTTCTTGCCAGGCTGTGTGTGTGTGTGTGTGTAAGAGAGTGTGTGTGCAAGGGATGCGGATTAAGCTTGAAACATGGCAATGCATTTGCTGTGCGATGGCCCCAAACTGGAGCCACCATCACCACCACCACCGCCGTGGCAACCTCATTGCTGGTTTTCTTGTGCCGCCACTGCCACTTGGCCAAAGCATCACACTGCAAGTTGGCAACAAAGTGGTTAAGACAAATGGGTTACGTGATAAAATGCGGTTACTCAAATTGCATGTATGCAAGCTTACATGTTGTGTCACAGTCTGCGACTGTGTGTGTGTGTAGGGGTGTGCGGGTGTGAGCTTGGGGTTTATTTAGCATTGCCAGGAACAACCAACCAAGCAGCCCGTCCGCCGAACGGGCCAAAACGAGAGGAGCCAGCCATCAGTTGCTGCACTTTGCCTGGTTCGCGTTTAGCCGTTTTTATTTTTATTTTCCTCGTTCCTGTCCTGCTCCCATCGCCTGCTGTTGTTTTTGTTTTCTTTTTGCCAGCTTTCCTATGGTTGTTACTCTTGGTGTTGTTGTTGTTGTTGGTGTTGGTGTTTGTTGTTGTTATTGTTGGTGTTGTGCACTTATGCGCTATCAGCCTTTTTGCGCTGCTTTGCTCGTCCGTCCGCGGTAGTTATTGCCGGTTGTTTGTTTTTTGTTAAATATATAGATATAGGTCCGGGGATATGTGGCCACAGCCGCCCGTCTTTATCTGCAGTAGAGCCTCGACGATTAGTATACTCTGCCAGGACTAGGGTACCCAGGACATGCACGATTTGATCTCTTTTGAACATGTCAAAATTTAAATAAAACAAAAAGGGAAACAAGCTTTCGGATGCCCAAGTTTAAGTACCCTTGCAGTTTGCAAACTTCTTAAAATATTGTCATACTTTGATCAATATTTTTATAGGACAATATTAACCTCAAAATCAAAGTTTAAAAATCTCATAACTAAACTAAAAATGAATTAATTTCAATTCAGAAACCACTCCTATGTTAGTTTTTATTATGTTAACAAATCTGCATACTTATTTTTAAAATTTAAAAAATTAATTTTTTTTGTCAAATTTTGACAATTTTAACGATGTAACCCCTTATAAAATTGTAAAATTTTCGAAAATTTTTGAAAAAATTAAATTTTTGTCGGGCATAGCTAGATCGATTCAGCTGTTGATGCTAATCAAGAATATATATGATTTATAGGGTCGGAAATGACTCTATCACATTATATAAGCTTCTGAATCATGTTATATTACCATTTTTTAGTCGAAATTATAATTTTTTATATGACAATTTTTCTACAAATCAATGCTTAAAAATATCATAACAAAGCCAAAAATGCATTAATTTTAATTCAGAAATCACTCATATGTTAGTTTTTAGTAGGTTAACAAATCTGCATACTTATTTATAACATTTTACAAATTCAATTTTTTTTTGGTCAAATTTTGACAATTTTAACGATGTAACCCCTTATAAAATTTGCAAATTTCGAATAAATTTCGAAAATTTATTTTTAGACCGTACATTACTAGATCGGTTCGCCTGTCGATGCTGATCAAGAATATATATGGTTTATAGGGTCGGAAATGATTCCTTCACAGTTTTTAAAGCTTCTGACTAAAATTATAACTCCCTGCGAGTGAATAAATATATAAGTTTTATTTCTTAATATAAAAACAACAAAATGAAATATGCCTTTTAATTCAATTAAAATGTATTTTTTTTAGCAAACAATTGACCTGATTTAATTACATTTTAAATTCGCAATGCTTTTTAGGCATCCTTGTCTTTTCCTTAACTTTGAAACCATAAAAAATTGGTTGCATTTAAAATAACATACAAAGTTGTCCATAATATTTTGTAAGCTGATGTACATTTGAACCATTTGTTTCATACATTTCGACTGCATTTTAAATTATAGATTTTCTTGTATATTTAATACTTACTTAGATAGTGAATTCAGGTTGCCATATTGTTCCCGACCAACAATCTTGCCCTGTTTTCATAAACAATTTTTTGCAACTGTTGTTCTTGTCCTTTCCCCATTTCTGGTTTGTCCTTCTCCGTTCCACATGCACACATATGTAACGTGAGCTGTAAAAAAAAAAACATTTGCATGTGTGTGTGTGTGTGTGTGTGTGCCTGTAAGCTGAGCAGTAAAGTAGCAGCCATGAGACCCGTTCCTCTGTCCCCCGCCGCGCTTTTCCAACCACCGCTTTCCGCTCCCTTCCAGCGCGTTTCCATCGCGTTTCCTACGCGGTTTTCATTGTCGTCTAGTTTGGGGTTTTGCTCCTTTCTTTGCTTATGCGCTTCAAAGTTTTATTTGCCATTTTTGTGTGCTGCACTTTTTGTATTTCGTTTTCAGCGTGATTTTACAATGAAATATAAAAAAAAAAACACCGAAAACACACTCGAGCGAAGTTAGCCGCTTTCACTTTATGGAGGCAAAGCTATTAAAGCATAAAATGGCAGCCAAACCCAGCACACAACACCAAACATAATTACTGTCGAGTGTATGAGCACGGAAAGTTTCATAAAACTGCAGGCCGGGCGCCCTGATGTTGAGTTGCTCCTTCGCTAATTTCTGGAAATTTTCATTTGATTCAGATTTAATTTTCCAGCAAATGCTTGGATGCTGCTCTAAATCAATGATCAGGCGCCACCTCCATATCCTAGTCTATCCGAACAGGACATGCGAGCAGCACTATTTGGTCCATAAAGTGCTCCCGCGCTTCCGCTGGCCACAGTAGTCGCAGTCGCAGTTGGAATCGTGGTTGCTCTAATTTTTACAGCGCTCGCATGCGGCCGGAACATCCATTAGAACAATAACAAAACAAAGAGGCAACAGAACCAGGGAAAGCCACAACAAGTGCATCTAAAAGATGCAGCCATTTTTAACCCACTTAAGTGGTCAGTGGGGGGCAGCAGACCAGAGTTTAGTCGTACTCTCCATGAAATTGAAGTTTTCAATTAATTTTCAATACGAAATGGAGGAGAGGCTGGGAGCTGGAGCTGCAAAGTTTGCCGGCAGCAGCCAGCTAATAGAACAGCATAAAAAGCAGCTAAGGAAAATAGTTTTAGCGGTTTTCGACCCACCCATTCTTCGAATCCGTACCCATTGCTCTTCCTTATTGGCTCGAAAGTTCGAATGTGCCCGGTAATTGGCCGTCTGGAGTGGCCGCAAATTAGCCAACGCCATCGCCGGCATTAGTGTCAAACCCAGTTATCTGCTAGACGCACTAACTCGAGGGCTTTCTGCTTCCAGCCTCGGAGTCGGTCAGTAAGCTCTTTCGTCAATCAAGCGGCTCTAAATCCACGCCCTCCAAGTCGGCTCACGCGGACAAATCGGACGCCGTCTCCACCGCCTCGCTCACGCTCTCGCTGAGCTCCCTGGCAAGCAGCAGCAATATGGAGCCGCCGGAGCGTCAGCCCTCGATTGCGGAAACCCCAACGCCCGTGGAGGACTCGTTGTCGGCGACTGCCTCCCACACCGCGTCCACAGCCCTCATGATGGATGCCCCAGCGGAAGAGGCAGAGGGACTGGGTCCGAGAGTGGGCTACTCTAAGCCCGAGACACCGCAGATGCGAAGCACGCCCAACGGTGAGTTGGTTAGGTTGCCCCTAGGAGCCACTAATTAGAAGCTTTATCTTCGCAGCTAATCCCTTTCTGGTGGAGAACTCCCCGCTTCGGCAGACAGTTGTGGGACGTGCCCTGATCAGCGTGAAAATTGGCAGCATTATGGAGCAGTCTTTGGTCTACTACACGGCTCGTCTGGTGGCAGCCAGATTCCTACTTAGCGGACAGGCGGCAGGCCTGCAGCCGGATAGTGTCTGCAGGGTTTCCATCAAGAGCCTTTCGCTGGCCGTGATCGCACAGTGCGTGCGCCTGGCTCCCCGAGTGCTTCAGCTGAACCTGGAAATCAGCGATCAGGAACTCCAACTGCTGCAGGAGGCCAGTTGCCAGGTTGGAAGTGGCGATAGTACCCAGCTTTCCAGTCCCCAGAGTAGCGATAACTCGCAGTCGGGCGGAGAGAAGCCGCGGTTGGATAGTCCCCTGATGCAGACAGAAGTAGAGGATAACCTGCTCCTGCTGGACATCAAAGATGATCATTTTGGCGCCAGCACCTGTCCAGTTTACTTGCAGCAACCGGCGCCCACACTTACCCGTAGTGCCGATGCTTCGGTTCTGCTACTTGGAAAAAGCTCTGCCTCCCAGCCTATCAAGAAGTCAGCCAACGAAGACAAGCTGTCCAAGTCCGAGATCATCGGCAGCTCCTTTCGCCCCACGGTGGCAGCGGAGGACGTGCCACCTTTGAGTCTGCCTCCACGTCCCCCAAAGCGCACCAAGTCGACACGCAGTCGTGCAGGTATTAATGGGATGATGTCCACCGCAGGCAGTTCCCAGACTCCCGGCTGCCAGGCGCTTTCGGATGTGCTGCTCTACCATGACCACTGTGATCCCATCTTACGTGGCGGTGTTCAGCAGGTGGTGGGTTTCTTTCTGCAATCCAGCGGAGCTGGTCTGTCTTTGGATCTGCAGCGTGGCATGGGACTGCAACACTTGCTGGCCGTTTTGCTAAAGGTGAGTGCATCGATAACAACGAACACGATTTTAGCATAAAAAGTTGCGTAGCCAGAAGGCTCTAAGGAGCCAGTGCCTTCCTCCTATCGGTGCCTGGTTAATGTAAAGCCACATTACATGCACTACGGCAACCAACTTTGTATATCTGGCGGTATATCTTAGTTGTAGAACGCCCACTCGCAATCCCTTTCCTGGGCTCTGTGTTCCTTCCACTGTATGCATAACGCATACGCCACGTTGTACGACAATATCTATTTACTTTACCCTAGGTAAAGCATTGGGGAATTGGCAAGGAGATTAGATTTGTTACAAGATACTAGTTACAAAATATATATTTTTTTTATTTATAGATATATATATAGATTTCCCTACGAGATAAGGCTTTGTTTAAAACTGTATTAAAGGGCATATTAGATTTCAAGAGTATTCAAGTATCGCCTTCCCGGAATTACTTTGAGTGAGTAGCGTAGGTTGCCCTCGATTTCCCCCCTGCACAAACATTTTCTATATCTATAAATATGTGCCTCCACCTTTTCGCTGTACTTTTTTCTATGTTAAACCATCAAGCTAACATATTTTAACACATGCAGGAGGCAAAACACACACACGGATACGGACACGTGTCCATATCAATGGCTGGTGCCTTTTGAATATTTTCAAGCTCCAGCTCGAGCAACCCACTCAAGTCAGTTGCAGCTGCAGTCGGAGCTTGGCCGGCGGCATTTCGTGCGGTTGGTTGTTTTTCATTCGAAAATAAGAAAGAAAACCCTTATCGCCTTCGCAATGTGCAAGTGCAAATGCCCCTAAAGGGAGCAGCGCATCCGTTGCCATCTCGCTTTCTCATCTCCATCCCGGATCGGACCGCCTCCTTCCGGTATGCAGAATGTGCGCATAAGTTGCACATTGATTTCTGTCTGGGGATTGGTCGTGGCAGTAAGTTGGGGCTCCGATGCCGGGCGGTTTCTTATTGAATTCAATAATTTAGTGGCCGGCAGCGAACATTTAAATTGCTGCTGGCTGCTGGCCTCCCCAAAAGTGCAATTTGATTATGCAATGTTGTTGCAGCGGGATGCATGCGCATGCTATCGGGGCAGAAGGGACGTAGGAGGAAGGGAGAACGGAAAGCGGGTCAGAATAGGACGCAGGACGTGCTGGCTGAAAATCACATTAGATGCCTGCTACATAATGGCTGCAAATCCGTCTCAATGGCACTTGCCAGCATACCAAAATTGGAGCCAAAAAAGGGATAGCTAGTGGGGACATAGAAGGCGGCAGGATCTTCCCTGGAGTCGGGCAAGCCCAAGCCCAAGCCCAAGCCCAAGCCCAAGCCGGGGCCAAAGGCAAAGCAACTTTGATAACAATAGCCCTTTGGCCCCGGTCTGGAGCAAGGAAAAGCTTGTTAGGGATTCGTTAAAAATGCACACACTCTCAGATGGATACCGGATGCAGGCAGGGGGCAACCCCAGAGCTGGCCACTGTGTGATTGTGGAAAACTTTTTGCTTGTGCAAACAATAAAACACAAATTCGCTTAGCCAACGTCTCGTTTCGTCTCTCGCAAGCCATCTTATGCCTGTTCTTGAGGCCCTGTATAAAGAAATTTAGCCCAAAAACTTTTTGCTCTTCCCCACTTATTGCAGGGCTTTGAGGACGAGATCCACACAGTGGTTATACAAGCGTTGAATGCATTCGATAAGATATTTCCGCATGTGGTGTCCAAATATTTGACAGAGCCGCCATGTCATTATCATGCTCATCAGCAGCAGAAGCAAAAGCAGAAGCAGGAGCAAAAGCAACAGCAGCAGCAGTTGGAGGACGACCAGGACCTGCAACGACATTCAAGTGGACAACAAAAGCGTCCGGGCCAGGCGCAAACATTTGGCCAACAAACTTTTGCAAAGGACCAGGATAATGCCTTAAGCAGTCAACGGCCGCAACAAAGGCGTCCTAACGATGCCGGGACATGTGCCAAGTCCTCGGCCACAGATAATGATGGGCTACTGGCTGCTCTTTTGAATGATTTCCAATTGCAATCGACTGGCATGCAGCAGCAGCAGCAACTTCAGCAACAGCAAAAGAATAATGGCAACGGCAGTGGGCAGTTGGGTAATGAGCCCGAACCATTCTGTGTGTTTGCCATCTCGCCCAAATTGCTCTTGAGCAAACTCCGGCTCTGCCATCACAATAAATATTGGCTGGTCCAGAATAAATACGCCGAAGTTATTTCGAATTTAAATTACGTGCTGCTGCGGTCGTACTACGCAAATTTTCGTTGTGGCCTCGCCAGCAATAACACCACCAGCGTCGAGCAGGAGCAGGAGCAGGAGCAGCAGCATCAGGAGCAGCAGGAACAGTCGCACTCGACGAGGGAAGCCAGCGATTCCGGATGCGGGAAAGCGGAGAGCGAGGACATTGTCTGCACTTATGAGGTAAGCAGCTAAATCGTCTTATTACAACCGGGCCCGCTGGCAGACCGCCGCTTGCCGTCTTGTTTATTGTGCAGATTATTTTACGAGTGTGTTTTCGCTCCGTTCCTGCTCCATTGTGCCCCAGAATCCTCGAAAGCAATTCGAGTGCCGGGCGCTGCTCTGACAACTCTTATTGAACATTTGTGCACTCAAGTGTGTGGCCGGGCTCTTTGTGCATTCTGCAGGAGACTGTGGAGCGCATCCTGCCGAATGCCTCAGCCCCTGACGGACTGACGAACAGACCAGCTGACAGGCTAGCCCCCATGGGTGGGGTTTTTGTGGCGCTCGCACATATATTTGTTTATTTATTATTTTGACAAAGCTAAGCAATTTGCTAAATGGCACAGAGAGGGAGAACGTACATCAGCTCGAGAGTCGGCAAACAATTGAGGCAAAAGACGATTGACGGCTCAAACTGAATGCCAAAGAAATGTAATAGCACGAAAAGTGCTTCCCTCAATTGATAGTGCTTCTCAGTGGGGATTCCAGTATTAGTTGCAATTACTGACTGACGGTGGTTTCATAAGTTTCTGAGTAGAACACATCAGGGGTTTCCCAAAGAGAAAAAATCATCCTAAGGACATGAGTTTATAATTCAACATGCTAAACTCAGTAAATAAAACAAGATCCAAGTCATTTAAGTAATATTTAAAGAGTCAAACCCGTAAGACATAAACTCCTTCGTCTATTTGTATTCCATGGACTGTTTCTTCAAGTGTTTTGATTGCACTACCTTCATTCCAAAATCGACGGAGCAAACCGCGTCTGCACGGGCATTCGAAACTGCCAAACTGCATAATGAAAACTTGGCTCACTTTTTGATTTACAACACTTTGCTCTCCTTCTGGTCCTCCTGCAGGCACAGTTTCTGGCTGAACTTTTACATCTGCTCGGCGACGATGATGCGCGGGTGCGGGAACATGCCGCCTGCTGTCTTTGCCGGTTTATAATGCAAACGGCGCGCCAGGAGCAGGAGCCGGCAGCCGGCAGGGATGAAGATGAAGGATGCGAGATCGAAGGCAATGGCAATGGCAACAGCAACAGCAACGTCAACGTGGAAACTCAACAAACTAATTTCAATTTGCTGTGGGATTTTTTCGACTATCGCATATTTGGCAGCATGTCCGTGACGTTGCGTAATTTATTCCGGACCAGTTCGACGATTGTGCCTCCGTTGGCGGAGCTGGATGCACTACCCTCCATGGGCTCCGCCTGCCCGGAGGCTGGCATCACGTCCATGATGGGAAGCAGCTCCTGCTCCTTAGGATCGGCAGCCGAAGCGGCAGCCTTCGCGGCGTCGGCCTACTTTGATGGCAGTTACGGCAACGGCATCGCCGAGGGGCATGTTTTTTCCATGGCGGGGCAACGTCAAATCGCGCTGGAGGAAAAAGTTTTGGCCAAAGTTTTGTATCGCTTGACAAATAAATTGATGACGCTGAATGATAAAAATTTGCAGGTAAATATTTGTGTGCCAGCCAGCCACCAATCGAACTAAATCGAACCGGTCGGCTCTGGGTTACTCCCACTACCACTTCCACTTCCACTCCCACACTCATCCTTGTTTTCCCTTTGCAGTTTGGCATAATTTACGCGCTGCGCCTCCTGCTCAGGCACTTCAATTTCGTGGACTATCAACAGGCCTGGATGGAATTCAATTTCGTAGAAATTTGCATTAGCCATGCCTACTACAACAATGCAACGGCAGCGGACCTCGGTTGCCAGAACGATTTGATTGATGTGATGGGCAAATTAATGGCAGGTGAGTGGAGCCAACCTCCGATCGCAACCCGGGTTTACTATGTTATTTCCTCTTGCGTAAGCCCCATAAATATTTTAATGGTAATGGCAGACATTCACAACCATACCACACATTTGTGCATTCCAGTGCGCCTCACTGGGCTCCTGATATTTCCGATATTTATTGGAATTGTTCGACTCTTGGCCGGTGCTTTGCGGCTCGTTTGGCTAATTTAATTTAACTGAAATTACAAAAACTGTAATTTCTGGTCTCAGACTGCATATTTAATTGCATTATGCTGTAATGAATGCCGTGGAAACGTTTGCATAAATCATTTTAATTAATTGTTTGTCATTAAATAGATTTGCATAAATATTTTCATGCTGCTGCGGCATAAGTGACTGACCGTAGTCTATTTTTTTGTGTTAGCTGCTATTATTTTTAAATTTAATCAAGAATAACGAGAAATTAGCATAAATGTTTATAAATTTCCGCTTTCGCTAAAAGTACTACCAAAAAACATGGAGAGATAAAAAGTTTGGAAATGCTGCTCAATGTTCGAATGTTAAATACACTTTTACCTATTTTATATTGTAAATAATTAATTCTCAGCGAGGTGCCTGATTAAAGCCCCATTTTGTGGGTTTTGTTATACGATTTGTGTCCAAATTCAATTCATTCGCACAGTTTTTACACAAAATTCGAAATGTTTTCAATGCAACTGAAGAGCTTAATAGCATGAAAGCATACTCGGAATTCAGCACAATGTGGCTGATTATATTTAATTCAATAATTTTCAACAGCGCCATTAACAAAGTGCATCTAAAAAAAAGCACCAACAACTGTAACAACATCAACAAAACCGTCGCCGGCTGCAGTAATGCGCAGCTAGTGCGCTAATAAACATTTCAATTCAATTTACAAAAATGTTTATAGCACGCAGTGCAAAAAAGCAAACAGAAAACCAAACTTCAACTCAATTTCATTAGTGCCATTTCACACCGACCGCCACGACCAGGATGCGGAGGACTGAAGCCCGACCCTTTCCAGGATCGGTCGACATGCATTAGGACGCTATAAATTTTGGGGGCATTGCGGCAATGCCTGGGTAGGAGGGGCAATGGCGACAGGCTCTTTATTATTTATCATGCCGGCCGCGTATTTGCTATGCGCTAATGTAATCCACCATAATCAAAAAGTAATTAAATTATTAATAAACCATTAAATGTTAAACAATTTTTGTGTCAGCGGCGACGGCTGCTTTCACTCCCAGTCCCAGTCCCGGCTCCCCCGCCGCGTGCTCTTACAATTTGCATTGCATTTGCATTGACGCAGCGGGGAACAATTTAATATTTAAGCCGTGTGTGCTTACGGGGATGTGTGTGTGGCGTGTGTGTGCCTGGGCATATCTGGACATCGATTTGAAAACAAAATCACCAAATGTTTTCCCGACACTCTCGCGTGCGCTTCGTGATAAGTTTTGACAGTTGCCAAAATGTATGCAAATAGTTGCAATTCATGCCCAGAACCAAAACAAACATCCAGCGGAAATCCTTTAATTGTGGCCGGAGTAAATTCACAGTTTGCCGATGGCTTAAAGCCACCGAACTCACCTGCATTGTTATGTTTTAAGCTGGCTATCATGTCCGACTTAATTCCTTCATTTTATGAGAGTAATTGTTGTAGATTTAAAAAAACTAAACACGAATGCAGTTAATCCGTTATTATAATTATGACAGGTTAATACCTGGCTTAGCATTTCATTAATCCAAATCTCACCTGTTTCCGGTGGCTCAATCCATCTACTGTCATATCTACCTTTCCGTGCTATTATCGAACGTTGTCCTGGCGCCAAAGTGAAACAAATAAAAACTGAAATGCGCGATAAATAAATATAAATTGGTAGCGGAAGAATGGCGTCGTCTCATTGCGATTGTGTGCGCAATTTTCAATTAATTAGTAAATGTAATGCAAACTGCGAGCCGGGGCATCCGCTGGCAACCACTTGCCCATTGTCCTGCCCCCAAAGGGGTTCTTTAAATGGCTCCCTTAACACTTAATTTTTATAAATATTTATGCGCATACAATTTAATTTATTTGTAAATAATATTTTTTTGCATCGGCATTTCCTCTTGGCCATGGTGGAAACACAAATTTATATTGCTTATTGCCGCTGAACGTTGCATTCATTGTTGACACATAAATTGAAATGTTGCGAGACTCACACACACACAAAGCAATTAATGCGTATAAATCATAGCACACTTTGAAGCGTTTTCCGCTTGTTACCTATGCAATTTTTGTTTTAATTTCACATTATTCTCCCGTCCTCGTGAATTGCCATAGCAGCAAATCCCATTGAATGGCTCGCTACCCCATTGCAAATCCATTAATGCGTTTTTAATTTTGTGAGCTGCAATTACGCAGCATTTGTATAATTTTAAGTGCTCGTTTGCATTGCAACCCAATTAGCCGAGGCGGGAACTCTTAATTTGCGAATAATAAGCCTCCAATCCGCAAATCTATCCACTTCTAGGTGCCATGTTGAGCTCCGGTGAGCCGAGGACTGCCCACCTGGATTTTCTGCTGCGCCACAGTCTCAAGATACTCAACATCTACTACCACCTGGTCACCAATCAGCGCCCGCCCTCCGGCTCGCATTCAGCTTCCAGCTCGAAGGTGCCCAAGAGCGAGCTCTTCACCCGGGAGCAGCCAGGGGCAGCAGCCCTCCAGGCTCTGGGTTACTTTGCTGGCGATTACGTTTACATGAAACTTTACAACATTTTAAGAGGTGCTAATGACAGCTACAAGGTAAGTCAAGCCACGGACTTGCAGACTTGCAGACTCGCACACTCGCAGATTCGCAGATTCAGTGGGAGCCACCGCCATTAAGTCGCTGGTGGCGCCGAAATGGCAAAAGTTGCGCGGCACGTGCACTGAGATTTCCCGGCACCCAGCACCCGACACCCAGCTCCAGCTCCTGATTCGACTCCCGTTGCAGCCCCATCTCCGTTAAGGATCTAGATGCACGTACAGCGCAATGCGCCGTTTTATATGCAACACTTTCTGCCGGTGCCACAGCCAGAAACCACCACCACCACCAATGAGTTGTAAAAATTCAACCCGCGACGAAATGCAGCCAGCGTAGTAGCATCCTCACTTGACTTTTGCCACTCGCAGCTCAAACAGAAACTTCTTCGCACCGACTGACTTAATGTGCGGGTTGCATTAGGCCACCACCCGCCCATCCATTCTAATGCCCCATGCAACTCTTTTATTTTCTCCTTCATGCAGATAACCATAAATCACGAGGCCGGCAGCTTATTAATTTGTCTCCTGAAGACTTGCCTGAACGCATTGAGCCTGTGCCTGGAGTCCCTGCCGAGTGCCTCGCCCCCGGAGCTGAAATTAATCGAAGAAATACTCCACTATTTGACCAAGCTAATAAATTATGCGCCCGCCGAGTGCGTTGCATGTCTGCGGCAACTGTTGAAATATTTATTCGCCCAAAATTATGCCAGCCAACTGCGGGTGCAGCCGACGGCCACCACCGATGGCCACCATGCCGCCTTCACGCGTCCCTACTTTGTGGCCAAGGGCAGGGGTCATGGCGTCCTCTCCACATTGTTGCCAACAATAAATTCAAAACCGGAGCAAGGAGCAGGAGCAGGAGGAGGAGCTGCCCGACGACCAATTGATATTGTCCCACTCCAGGCGCTGGGCATGCTCTTTGTCCGTGGCCTGCAGCCGCCCACACCGCCGGCGGGAGACTGCGCCAGGCTTATAAAGCTATTCGAGCCCCTGGTCATCTACTGTCTGACGGTGAGTACACTCGAACAAAAAATACAATATTTTAAAGGTTAACTAAGTTAGATAAGCTAGATTAATAGATGAGTTTTAATATACTAAAAAGGAAAGACAAATATTGATTTATTTGATCAAAGGATAATGGAAAATTAAAGTCGAGAATTTGTTCAAGTGTATATATACCAACGCTGACTAATTAATTTTAGTTGTAGCCAATTTGTTTGATTAAAAATGCACAGACACGAAGGCCAGGCGACCCGGGGAAAAGTCCTTAATCTGTAACGTGTGTGAGTGAGTGTGTATTAAGGGAACAGAGTGCATCCATTGATATTTTATTAATGGCGAACATGGGCATGGAGCACTAGTATTCCCTCATGTAACATAATTTCCCTACTCTGTTCTTGCCCCCGGCAGCTCTTCATGAAGTCCAATGCTCTGATTCAGGCGCCCATATTGCGATTGCTATCCCAGCTGCTGGACCTCAATGTAACCTACAGCATATTGGATTCCAAGAATGTTATATTCGAGCAAATACTGAACAACATGGATCTGATAGAGGGAGGCATTGATAGGTGAGTTCAAACAGATTAAATTTGTATAAATGCCTTACAACTTTAGTCAAAGATATCCTTTATATCAATATATCTCTTTAAGCTTGTCACAGATTCCCTAGACCCTTAAGTTCTAACAAAGTTTTCATTCTAGGAACGCCTTTATTATTGTTCCACCCATGCTGAGATTCCTTGTGCAGCTCACCCACAAGAGCGACCGGCAACTGATCACCATACCCAAGATCATCAGCATTACAAACAATCTGCTGGCCAGCAGCTCTGTACGCGAGGTGGCCTTGCTGGCCCTCAGAACCTTGAGCTACGAGCTATTCTTCATGCACAGCCAGCTGGAGGAGGCCATGGACACCGACAGTGGTCATAATTCAGGCCGGACGGCTTGCCAGAGCCCATTGAGTGCGGCCCCCACGCCGGAAACCAGGGAGGCCCTGCTGGCTCAGCGACGCGAACTCGACACGCAACGGGAAGTGGTGCTGGGCATGCTGGAGAAGTTTATCGAGGCTCGGCCCAGTCAACAGGTGCTTTCCCTCCTCCTGCTATTCGAGCGGAGCGTGGAGCAATTGGAGGAGGCTCCGTATCGCAGCGCCCAGGATGCGGACACCGTGTATGGGATTCTTTGTCGAGGTCTCTGCTCACGGCAATGGCGACTGCATTCCGCCGGAGATCTGCGGCGGCTGGAGAGCTGTTTCCGCAACAATGGCAACCATGTGCTGGCCGACAGCAAAGGATTCCTGCAGCTGCTGCAGCTCTTCATCGAGCAGGTGAGTTAAATATGCAGTGGCCTAGGACTTGACAAAGCACTCAGCCAATTCACAGCTGCCCGTCAGTGCCTCAATTATGGCATGCATTAAGACACCGGCAGATCCACCGCTTCTTGCCGGAGAAACCCTGCCCGTCTGTCTGTCTGTCCGTTTGATTTCGATTGAACTCTCATAAATATGCGCCAGGCCTGCTTAAATATACATGCCCACACACACTCGCACACACACTTCGAGGCGTCAGGCAATTTGCAATATTTATGAATGCAGACAGAAACTTAAAATCCAGCTCGACATGCAAATGAACATAAAGCCGTCTATCAGCCGCTGGTTTGGCAAGCTGCCAATGCAAATGACATATGAATGTCCTGATGTCCTGATGTCCCGATGTCCTGATGAGTCCCGGTGTCCCGAGAAGGTGTCAACCGGGCGTGCCTGGCATCCACTTAATAATATAATTGAAGTAATGCCACAAATTACAACACTCTCAGTTTGGAAACGATGGCCGTGAGACTTAACTGGTACTTAGGCCACTGCCTGGAGTTGCATAAATTGATCTCGTTGACATTAAATGGAAGTGCGTCAGATGTTTCGTGTTCGATTCAAAGATGACAGACGATTGTCTGTCCGGGTGGCTCATCAGTTTACATTCAATGCGCCATCAAAGAGTCAGTGCTCAAAGGGTTTAGTGTTTTGTGCCAATGTAACACCGGGGAGTGGCTCCGGGAACTTTGAACTGGCGAGCTCTTCAACGATTTGTCATTACCTGTCCGTCAGGCCGTCCATCAGGGCGTCCGTTCGTCCAAACCCTTTGGCATTTACATACACACGAATGCACTTAGTTGCAGTTACGGGGCAATTTTTTATATCGCCGTGTTGTGTTCCCCATGTTGTTAGTGTTGCCAGTGCCAGTGCCAGTCCTAGACCCGGTGCTAGTGCCATGGCAGTGCTGCTGATCCATGTGGCGTTGTAGTTAATGTGGCACATGTCGTATACGTGACATTTTTAATACCTACGCTTCAACGCCGCACATTTTCAACTATTAATGCGCATTTAAGCTACACATGCATTAACTGTCGGGCTGCCTGCCAGCCAACCAGCCCGGCATCCAGTTCGAGCTTCTCGTGCAGCCACGCCCTCCTCATACCCATTTCCCATTCCCATTCCCATGCCCATCTCCCCCACTACTTAGCCCGTTCAGACCAGTCAACCGTTATGCTACAGTTAAAACCAACTTAATTACACAGTCTCCCTGGCACAGCCGTTCGTGTGTGTTGATACCGTCTCTCTTCGGGGGTGTGTGTGTGCTTGTGAGCCCACTTGTCGTCCTCGGAGGCAGTCAATTGCATGTGAAGACTTCGTGCATCCACCTGTCTAACGCCATTGGCCGGTGGTCATCCCTCCCCCACAAAGCCACCTACCCATATCCGCTCGTATTAATGGCTAGCTGACACTTTACTGCCGCCGGCAATTCAACTTCATTTAACTTGTGAGTTATGCGCAAAGCTTAAAAACTTTAACTAATTATCGTTTATTTAATTTGGACACATAAAAAAGTAAAAAATAAGCGAAGGCGGCAGGGAAATTAACAGGGTTTCACGCAGTCTCCGTCGCTCAGGTGGCATGAGTAATTAAGTTTGGCCTTCCGCCGCACATAGCCGTGTTTATAAGCGTATTTATGTGGGCTATGCAGGATGCAGGCATGTGACTAGTTGACGGGAGCAGCAGTTTTAATTGAAATTGAAATTGCGCCGCAACTTAAATAACATTCTGCGTGTAAACATTGACTCGAGGAGGCATGAGGAGGCGTTCAAAAAAAGCTTATTTAAAATGCACCACAGCCAGCACCAGGTTCGTGCCAAGAGGCGCCAAATGGAATTGCATTCGCCGTCCGTCCGTCCGTCCGTCGGACACACATGTGCAGGATGGGCATGAACGAGTTGGTGATGATACGGGGAACTCCCTTCTAATTACTGCCGGAAAATATGTGAATGTTGGTGCTGGCAACTTTGTCACACAAATTTATGCAAAGTTTCACACTTTACTGCACTGGCGGTCAACAACGAAAGGAGTCATCAGCATCAGCCAACGAACTTACTCCTCACCATTCTCCTTTCTCGTTTCTCGTTTCCAGGGCGTCGGCAACTTTGGTGATTTAGCTCTGGCGATGGTTATGCTGGCCAACGTAATCCTTAAGACCGAGGAAATTTATTTAGTGAATCACATAAAACTTTATTTGAAAAATAATCCAACTGCCGAGCGGCGGCTGCAGGCTTTATTGCCCACCACATCGGCCACTCCACCGTTATGGCAGGACGAGGCGCCATCGACATCTTCGGCGGCTGCAGCAGCCAGAGCCGCTGCTGCTCACTCCTCCACTGGTCGCGCCGCCATCAGTGAGATTAACTATTTCGCCAAGGTCCTGAGTGAGAAGCTGCTCGCCTGCCTGGATGCCCTCCTGGGCGGAGCCACATCCCCCCGGCCTCAGCTGCAGCGGATCACGCCTACTGCCAGCTGGCAGGGCGCTTCGTCGATGCCCTGAACAACGTCTGCTGCCGCTCACGGCACAAGGATGCACTTCAATCAGTTTTCCGCTTGGTTTTGGCCGAGTCTGAATTTCTCTGCAAATACTACAGCCTGCTGTTGATGAGTGCCGCCGGCCAGGGTGGATCTGGATCTGGCTCACTGGATGCCTTGCTACTTGCCTGCATGAGACTGGCTCAAGCCATGCGGCTGGAGGAGCCGGTGGTCCTGCTGGAGCAGGCCGCCCAGCTGCCATTAAAACGGAACCTGCAGCGGGCGTTGTTGCGCGAAGTTTGTGGCGCCAATGTGGTAAGTGCACTGCAAATAATTTCTGTATAGGTAACAGGATATTGATAGTTAGATTTATAAATTATTTAATTGGTATTTGTTTTTTTTTGTACTCAAAATTATAATTATACGATTGCAGGGTATTGTAATTTTAGTCAGAAGCTTCTAAGTCAGTGACGGAATTATATATATAAATCATATATATTCTTGATCAGTATTAACAGCCAAGTCGATTAAGCCATGTCCGGTAGAAAATTTTTTTTTAATTTTTTTGAAAGTTAAAATTGTCAAAAATTTAAATTTTCTAAGATTTCAAATTGAGTATGCATATTTATTAATCTTATAAAACTAAAATAGGAGTGGTTTCTAAATTAAATTTAATGCATTTTTGGCTTCGTTATGAGATTTTTAAGCATTGATTTCTTGAAAAAAAATTTCATATAAAAATAGTGATAATATCGATTTAAAAAATGGTATCATAACTTCAGTCAGAAGCTTATATACCGAGATGGAGTCATTTCCGACCCGTTAAATCATATATATTATTGATCAGCATGAACAACTGAATCGAACTGGAAATATCATTCAAAAATTTATTATTTTTTTTTTTTTCGAAATTTTTCAAATTTACAAAATTGTACAAGGTTACATCATTAAAATTGTCAAAAATGGACAAAAAATTGAATTTTCGAAAATTTCAAATTGAGTATACAAATTTATTAAACTACTAAAAACTAACACAGGAGTGGTTTATGAATAAAAACTAATGCATTTTTAGCTGAGTTTTGAGTTTTTTAAACTGTGATTTTGAGGATAATATTGTCATATAAAAATTTGCTTCGATATCGATTCAAAGAATATGAATATTTTAATGTTTAGCTTAGTTATGATTGATTTCCGTTACTATCCGATAATTTAATTGCAAACTGCAAGGGAATTTAAACTTGGGCTTTCCGAAGTTAGTTTTCTTTCTTGTCTAAAAATACACATTTTTTGCTATGTGCAAATGAGCAGAGAGGTGGGCGGAAATAATGGCGGATCAGACACATTAGTTTAATTTGAATTTGGCAGACGACGCCGTTGCTGGGCCGCCACTCCCCCGGTGGCTCCATCCTCACCGGATGCCCAGGCTATTTACAACACTGCGAATTTTTCCAGCTGACAGTTGTCGCACTCGCAATTTTGCGGTTCACCGCATCGGGTTTTCGGTTTTGGGTTTCGGTTCTGCACTCACTGTCCCGCCCCAGCGACAGTGAGCCTTTAAACGGCCGGCTTACTTTAAGCACAGTTCACTGGTTCATTGGCGGGCATAATTTTAATTGATTGCCACTCGAGCATGCGCCACTTGTTGGCTAATGGCCCGCGCCCCGGAACAAATCACAATTGTCCACTAATTGCAGGGCTGCGAGTGGAGTGCGCAACAAGTGCGCCGCCTGTTCGACGGCAGGTATCTGAATTTCCTAATTGCTGACCACTTGGAATTCCTCTGCGAGCTGTGCCAAGAGCGTCCCGAGTGCGGCTCATTACTGCAGGTGGCCCTGCTCCGGAACGCGCACCGCTTGAGTCGGGTAAGTTGCCAAAGACTTTTTTGCATAACAAAAGGTAGCTCCTTTCATGTGCCCTGTGCACCCCCTCTCTCTTCCCCGCGCAGCAATCCATTCGCATCGTCCTTCGGCTATTGGGACGTCTTTGTGAGTCCGCGGAACAAAATGCCCCGGGAGACGCCGGAGTGGATGCCGGGCCCGTGCTGCAGGCCCTGCAATTGCTGAGTCGCCTGCACCAGCTGCACGACGGGCAGCGTTCGCTGCAGCTGCCCATGGAGCGGATGGCACGGCGACTGACCGCCCAGAGCGGGCCTGTCGCCAGGAAGGACATCTATGAGCGGCTCGTGGAAGGAGATCTGGCCGGGGGCGAGGACCAGGACGCCCTGCGAACGCTGCTGTAAGTAATATCCTTGCAATAATTCATCGAAAGCAATGGCAATTTATATTCAGATGATTACATAGATTGATGTTAGGGTTGGTCACTTTGTGAGGATGGAAAATCTTTTACAAACTTTGAATTGTATAATTTATATTTTCTTTTTCATCTTAATAATCCTAAGAAATCCACCTGAAAATCTACATAAACCTTTTAGATTGAAAGTCAAATACTATATAAGAAATGGTTCCATATCGAGGTACCCTTTTGAATGTTGCTCCCTTTCCTTGAAACCTGAGTACCCACTAAAAGCAAGCCAAAGAGTGCTCCAAGTTCGGATCAGCAGACTCTCATTATCCCTTGATGGTTTTATTTATGTTTCATTGCTCCGCATCGCAGGCTAAAGGACTTGGAGTGCCGCCAGGACAATGAGACTGCAACGCCGTCGCGCATAATTGATGAGAGCTGGCTCTTTGCGCAGGTAAATGGGACAAGCACTTGGCCATTATGGCACTGCCACAGCTAATTTGTTGTTTTTTCCTCTTCCATTTCCATTTCCACTTGCCAATGCTCCTCGTTTGACAACTCGCAGCTAATCAAGTTCGCGACCCAACACGCGGATGCTCCGCAGCAGCAGAAACAACTGATGCTACTCCTCCTGGAGATCCAGTCGGAGCCAAAGCTGAACCGTCTGCTCCGGAGCCTGGGGGCTGAACAGGAGGCGCGTCTACTGCGCCACGCCATTACGGGCTCCCTAACCGCCATGCTGTCGGACTTTCAGCAAAAGTGCATCCAGCATGCACCGCACATCAACTACATGCAACCGCCGCCTCTGGCGCGAGTGTCCTGCTCCTTGCTCCTGGCGAAAGTGGTTTCGATAACGGCCTCCGAGTCCCGGTCAACACCCACCGTCGTGCAACTGGATGTGGCCCGGGCGGTGGCCTCGTTGATGGTCTGTATATGGAATGTGGAGAAAACGGCGCTCATTTACATAGATGCCCGGCTGATTGAGAAATTCGTGGGCGAACACCTGCTGCGCCAGGAGCATCTGCCGCAGTTGATGGCCTACCTCGGATGGCTGGCCGAGGTGGCCAAACAGATTTTGGCCAAGCCAACACGACAGGACACGGAACAAGACGCCCTGGGCGTGCTGCTGACCACCATGGATGCACTCCTGCTGCAACCGCGGGTCTGGAGGGAGTTGAATGCCAGTTCGGATGCCGGACTGCGGTGTGAGCTCCTCGAGCTTCTGGGCACGGTGGCTCGGTGCATCTTGCAGGATACAATTTTCTATCAACGGCATCGCCTGGACAGAGGCGGCAACGCGTCCAAGGGACCAGCACCGCAGGCGATTTTCCTGGCCAAATTGATTGAAACGCAAATTGATATTGAGTCCCTGGACAGCGGCAGGGTCTTGGCAGGCGGCAAGGATGCTCGTCTGCAGTTTGTTGGCCAGGAGCTGGCCCAGGTCCAAGTACCGTTGGTAAGTGACATTGGGCCTGGTCATTTGTCAGTCTGACCCAGCAGCTCCTTCTCTTCTCTCTCCTCCAGTCGCTGGTGGCCTCCATTGGTACTTCGCTGCTACGCACACACCACTTTTATGCCTACGCGGTGACTCCGCCCGAGCTTATCCAGCAGTCAGAGGAGCAGCTGCAGCAGCAGCAGAAGCAACAGGCCGATGGCAAGTTGCCCACCATTCCCGTGGACAGTCTGAGCGATGTGGATGTCCTGCGACAATTTGTCAAGCGGTGAGTTGTGAGAAAACAAAGGATACCTCAAGCAGAGTTTACAAGTAGAGTAATTAAATTTAATGCATCGCTCATCCGATGAATTTGGAATGAAAGGAATATTATACTTATCCTTATTACCTTTCATTCTTATTGAGTATCTAAAGACGATGTTAAATATCAAATAATGTTAATGCATCCTCATATTTACCAAGTACCAATGGAGCTAATTCAGAGGAAAATGCAAAATCTTCCTAATTAAATCAGCTTATATTCGGGTCCCCGTGTTAAACCAGTTGGGTTATGATTTCGTCACCTTGCCCGTAGGCGCCATTGTCCGACTGGTCAACTGTCGCTTCCCTTATCAACTGGCCAGGCTCTGATGCATTGTGTTTGCTGATGCTCCTCCTTCTCCTGCTCCTGCTCCTGCTCCTGCTTCTGCTACTGGGGGCTGTTGCTGGTCTTGGTGTCGCTCCTGTCGTTGTCATTGTGTCCGGCAACAACAACAAAGTTGCTGACAATGCCCTGACAGCGTTGACGAGCGCATGGCAGCTACATGGAGCGATGATGAGGACTGCGACGGCAACGAGTATGGCTAAACCGCAACTGGAAACATCAACATCCTGTTGTTCTATTACAAACACAAGCACGCAAACAACAACATACACATATATATGTATGTATGTATGTTTGTAGGAGTGCCAGCCGTAAGACTTCATTGTTATAGTCATTGTCCTTGGCTTGTTTGCCTCGTCCTTGTCACTTGACAGGCTCCCCCGGCCGACACCCCGGCACGCCGGCATGGCCATTGCTGTTCCATTGTTTCGATGGCAGTCGTCATCATTACGCTGTCAGCCGAAAGCTGATGCTGAATCGTCATCAGCCAGGAATTGGGCGGAATAATTGTACACGGCTAGATGTCCTAGATGTCCTGAAACTTGACTTCCCGCAAAGTATGCATACTTGCACCCGAACTTCAACTCGTAGTCGCACTCGCACTTTAGCGCCCCCAGCCCGCGCCACTGAGCCAATCCATTTTTGGCTGTTGGCGGACCGACAAGAGCGCAAACATCAAAACCACATCAGCAGGAGGGATGCTGGCAAGCAAGGCTCCGAGGATGATAACGACAAAATCCCCCAAAGGGCTGACGGAGCGGAACATCAACAACTCTATTAGACGAAACTCTGTGCAGGATCAGCATCAGCATCACCAACAGCAACAGCAACAGCAAAAGCAATGGCAACGGCATCAGCATAGACATGCATTTTTGCCATAGGGGGTTTGGGCTAAAAGCCGCCGGTTGGGGGCTAAGAGCTGGGCTAAAAGACAGCACGGCAGGAAGAACCGCCGTCGAGGCAGCGAGCGATATAAACAAATTATGAGCAGCAAAGTGAGATAAATGCATGTGTGCGTGTTGCAGATGGCTGCCAACAAAAGGCACGTCATGCAGGGATACGGATCAGGATGTGGATGTGGATGAGGATGCGGATGCGGACGGCTGCCTTTAGCTCTAGAAACATTGTTGCTAATTGCACAGAAACCACCACCACGATGCACAGCAGCAGCAGCATCAGCATCCACAGGAGCACCCCGGGCTCCTGCATCACTGCTCCTGCATCACTGGCTGCTGCCTAAAGTAATCGAAGACTAATTGACATTTTAGGCCTTCTCGCAGTCAACATACATACTATGTATATATGTTGCATACCTACATGTATATATTGCATATTTTAAATATTTCAAGAGACCGGACTAATTGAATTAAAATTTCAAGCATTTGCTGAAAACATTTTATGCAGAAATTTCCAATTTCCAATTAATTACATACACACGAACACACAAACACCCATATACACATTCTCACGCCCTGCTTCCGGTAATTAAATTGACACTTATAGCCACTCTCGTCAAATTCTCGTTTCTCGTTTCTAGGCTCTCCATCTTTGGCTTCACCACCCGGCAGCAATTCGAGGAGTACTTCATGACCTGCCTGCTGCTGATCAACCAGCTGTACGACGAGCACATGGTCGATCAGCAGGAGCAGTTCCAGATCAAGCAGCTCTGCCTGCAGGCCATCCTCGAACTTTTAATGACGTACAAAACTTTTCCCATTGTGGGCCAGACCAATGGACAGTTCCATCACACGACTCGCTGGCGGCGCATCACTTGTGACAGCATTAGGTGAGTTCCTGGTTCCCAGTTCCCATTCGGAGATGGTGGTGCTCCCCTGGATAGCATGGATTGTCGGGCCACACAGCCAGGCAGAAATTTATGAAAATTAAAATTCAGAGCGCAGTGGGAAAAGTTTTTAATGTGTAAATGGCAAAAAGTACAAATTAAATGCGAACGGCAAAAGTTGAGTCTGTGAATGAGCGTGTAGGTCCTGATTTTGTTGTGCTCATATTATATCGTCCCCCCTTCCAATTCCCCCGTCGGTCCGAAAGAAAAAACCTTCAACTTTAAATGCACAACTAATTTGTTAACATGGGAGCGGCCAAAAACAATTTGGTGAACAAGTTTTCGGATGCTTTTACAATGTCTGCGCTTTTAATTAAAAGCGACAAAAAGTCTTTGTCGGAGCGACCACGATATATTGCATATATGCCGTGACGTGAGCACATGAATTATGAAAACAATTTTAAAAGTTAACGAGTGCCAAACTCTTTTTTCATGTCTCGTGGTCGACGCGATTCAATTGCCCAGCAGAGGCGAGCAGTGAAAAAGCCAAGCACCGAACGTAGCTGAAATATCAAAAACTCTGTTGACAATGCCCTAGGAAATTCTGTGGAGCACACATATTTTCCGAATTAGCTGACCAGAGATTGCTTTTATATACGTTGCTGTTGCTGGGGTAACACGAGACACTCTCTGGCAAATACTTTCCCCCGATGTTGACTGTATAAATTTGTTTTTAATTACAAGCAAATACTTGTATGTGTGTGTGATAGTTTTTCCCCTTTTGTTCCTTGTTGCCCTGTCAACAGTGCGTATACGCAATAAAGCAGGGAACGCCTTATCTCCTCGGACAACCCGACGTTTTTCCCATACCCATCCATCAGTGTTGAATTCCTTTGTTTTGTTTTTACTTGCCCTCGCAGCCTGAAGAAACTGCACAAGGTGCAGCTGCTGGTGGACGCATGCAGTGTCTTCTATCAGCCCAATCTGGAGCGGCAGCTGGCCCAGGACAATGTGATTGGCACACGCACCTTTGCGGCCAATCAATACGATCTCAATTTCAGCTGGGCCCAGATGGAGGCCCATGCGGGCGCCGGCATGGGAATGGGCATGGGAACGGGCACGGACGATGGGGCTTCTTCCCTGGCGGACATTAAGCAGTCCTGCGAATCGGATGTGCCTGACATGGCAATGCGCAACTATCGCCATTTTACGCAGCTGTCGGGAATTGACTTTCGCAGCAGCACGCAGCTGGTCTTTGACGTACTGCAGCAGATGATCGAGGTAAGTCCGCCGGCGAGTTCGGTCGTCCTGTCAAACTTTTGTGACTGTGTCACGTACCGCGCATTGCCTGCACTCGTCACAGAGTGTAATTTGATTATGCAAGCTGCTCGGCGGACATTACGGAGGCCAGCAGGCAGGCGGCAGGATGTCAGGACATCCAGTGCGTATGAGCGATCCTTGGGGGGCTAACGGCGTGACTCGTGATTTGGCACTGATTTAATTTCCAACTGCAACTTGCCATAACTCTTTTGCAATTTCCTCTTACTCCTGTTTCCTGTTTCTGTTTCTATTCCTGGCCCCAACCGACAGCTGAATCACATTCTCGTCCTGCCCAATTTGGTAAAGTTTTGCGAGATCTGCGAGAGTCGCGACCACATCAAGTGGATTAAAGAGCGCTGCCTTAAACTGCAGGAGCAAGTGGCCATGGATGATACGATTTCACATCAGGTAAGTGGGCTGCACTTGGAATCGATACAGTGGAAGGATTTTAATATTATTTGCAAGTAGTTCTCTTTGAAAAGATTCAAATATTGCTATTCGTATTCATAAACAATACCCTTGCAGCGTATTATGAGCTTGGAAGTGAAGGAATCATTTTCGACCCCATAAGTCATATATATTCTTGATCAGAATCGACAGCCGAATCGATCTAGCTATGTTCGGCAAAAATTAAATTTTTTTTTAAATTTTCGAAAATTTGAAAAATTTTATAAGGGGTTACATCGTTAAAATTGTCAAAATTTGACGAAAAATTGTATTTTCTAAAATTTTAAATTGAGTATGCAGATTTATTAAACTACTAAAAACTAACATAGGAGTGGGTTCTAAAATAAAATTAATGCATTTTTGGCTTAGTTATGAGCTTTTTAAACTTTGATTTGTTGATAAAATTGTCATAAAAAATTTCGATCCTTTAATTCGATTGCAATCTAACAGAGTATATAAACTATGGCTTCCCGAAGTCAGTTTCCTTTCTTGATATCTATTGATTTATGTTATTTATGAGAGAATATCAAGTTATTAACTATATCTTCAACTTATCTATTTTAATTCATTAACAAACTTTGATAAAAATAAATAAACTTTGATTAACTTTTAATCACTTTCGGTTGACTGGTTCTCAGTGTATTTTTCTTGCCATTTTCTATTGTTTTTGATGGTAATGTTCTCTGCATTTTCCAGCACATAATCTACTTACTGTGCCGCAGCCAGGCCCTCCTCATACCCAGCCTGGGCGAAATGCAGGCACTGTGCTCCCTGATTGGCAACGTCTACTTGAAGAGCACGCACGGCTTCATACGCATCGCCACGCTGCAGGGTCTCCTCTGTCTGCTGGAGTGCTGCAGCAAGACCAACACGACAATGGGCAGGATGAGCGAGGAGCTGACATTGTTGCGAGCCCTAATTGTGGGCTACATCAATCGCCATGGCATCATTGATGAGAGGTGAGTCCTAGGCCTGCAACGGCTTCCGCAATCTGGCAGGAGAGCCTTTCGAACGTTATTTGCCTCACTAAGCAATTAATATGCTCTCATCCAGCTGGTAGTTATTATCGTTGCGTTTACAGTATTTGGCTTAGACGAAAAGTCGAGTATACTCGAGTAGCGAAGGCTCTACCTGGTACCATCTTGAATTGAAACTCATCAACTTGGCCTGGAGGGGTGTCCTATCTGGCTGGGCTCCCGCTGCTCCTGCCATGTCTGTATCTGCTCCACAGATCCACTCACTAATGGCAAAAGTTCTCATTTCGCATTAGTTACCTCGTCTCATCGGCATCTGGGCTCTGTGGTCTGATGTGGTGGTGCTGCTGCTGCTTCTGTTTCTGCTTCCACCTTGCTGTTTAGGGTGTTATCAAAAAGTTTTCAAGGACTGCGCCGGAAGCAGCCGGGTCCTCTTCCCGCTCTGTAAGGGATATGCCAGCAGAGGAAGTTGCTCTAACTCGACAACGTGCAGAACATCGATGAACCATGGCCATTGAAACTTTTGCTCTGCTGCTTTCGATAGATTTTCCAAAGTCAAGCGCACCCGCACCACTCCCTGCCCTGATCAATGGTACTATGGTGTTGTGTTGTTGTTTGCACTCGCCAGCGAATTCTAATTATTGGCTGAGCAGATGCTCCTCCTCGTTTGCGGCTTTTGATGGAATTTCATATGCTGCGCTGCGAGCGAACCGAAAGTTTGTTTTGCATTGCCCCGACAAGTCCTGGGAAACGCGTTAAGATTTAAATTCGTAACTTTGGTATGGTGCAACCTTGAACGAAATAACTCAAAATTCCGCCACACACAACATTTATTCGGCAAACGCAGCGTGTGCGAAAACCTCAGCGAAAATTGCAACTCCTGGGATGCTGGCCATAAAATCAATGGACGGCCCCAGCGACCACGGCAACTAATCAGCGAGCAGCAGGCCAGGCTCACACCCGTGAGCCCTTCGTTCGAACTAATTATTTTGTAATTTTACGCGCCAAAACCAATGAGGGAGGAAGGGAGGGAGGCATCCTGGCGGATGCAATGCTGCGGTCATCAGACTTCTAATTAATTTAGATGGAAGTATGCCGCGGGCAGCTGCTCCGTGTGCATCAAGGCTATCGCTTTACATTTTACCCGCCGGACTTATCCCTCGTCTTTGGTCTCTCCTTTCAGCCCCCTGCAGTTCAGCGTGGAGCACACCAAGCTGGTCTGGACGCTCAATTACAGCCTGATCGAGTGGACATCGAAATTCGTGCCGCAATGTCATCTGTTGTCAAATGCAGTCATTGCGGCCAGCAATTTGCTGAAGACGACCGCCGACGAGGAGCTGTATCTCTGCGTTCTGCATGTGAGTACCGCCACGGAGGGTATGGAGCGAAGCGCAGTGACTTAGCATGCCACTTAAATGGTTGTCAGCCTTGTCTAGCCGCCATCAGGCCACTTACTAACTGTCAGCCAACTAGCCGGGCACAAATCTGACTGCCTGCCCTGCCGCCATTGACCAAGAGTAAACGCTGGGCAATCTGCTGCCCATCCTCCTTCGGGCTCCTAGCCCCGGAGTTCTGGTGACTTGCTTGGCTTAGCCGGGGCAACCCACGTTGCGCTTAATTGGTTTTTTGATTGACAATTTTCAAAGCGGACCGAGCTGTCATGCCAGCGGCGAACCCCGAACAGAAAAAGCCCCAGAACCGGGGCTGTCATAACTGAAGGAGGCGCTGCCAAAAAAAAAAAAAACAAAAAAAACGAATGGCAGCAGGGGAGCAAAAGCCGAAATGTTTATTGGCCAGACCGGAACTCGCACGTGTTGCGGGTCAATTGCAGCCCGTTGCCAAATTGAACGTAATGAAAAGGGTTGTGAAGTTGCGTTCCCTATAAACATACATGTTATATATGCTATATAGTGTATAAAGTATAAAGAAATTCCTCAATTGGCGGGCGTAATTTGCTGGCATTTAATATAGAGCTGAGATTTTAATTGCAGTTTACGAGTATGGCGAGCGAGTGCGCGGCAAGTAATTAAAAACTGTTTTTGCACTGCATACTTCCGGACGATGTTCGGACGAAAATTAAATTCGACTTTTTAAGCAATTTATGAAATTTGCACGCAATTCAATTGTAACATTTTGTTGCTTTCGCTGTTGGCCGTTGTTGTGGCTCTTTGCTGGCCATGTCCTTGTTGTTGCCTCTGCCTTTTGCTTTGATGGCCGCAGTCGGGATCCGGATCCGAATCACAACCAATGGCGGAGCCAGAGACGGGGAATAAGCGGGAGAAAGCGCAATGGCGCGCAGCGACAACAGCGGCCATAACAATAACAATTTGCCACTCAATTAGCGTGGCCATTACTGAAAAACCCACTTAAGTATGCAATGATAAAAATTCAAAAGCGAATCGAGAGATCCGCCCTGCCGCCCAGCTATTTCTATGAATTGTCCTTCGCCCACTCCTCTCTCTCTCTCTCCACTGCTCTACGAATATATTGCTTATTGTATTTATTTATCTCTTTGTCTCTGCCCAGGGCCTGGAGCGCATGGTGGTCAATAGTGGAGTGCCTTCGCGTGGTGCCCAGCCTACTGGAGTTGGAATTGGAGTAGGAGCAGGAACAGGAGCAGGAGCAGGAGCAGGAGCAGAAGCCGGAGTTGGAGTCGTGGTCACACCGCAGATGCGACATAAAATTGAAAAACTTGCACTCGAATTGTTGAAAATGGAAAATGAGAAATTTTCGATTCCGGCATTGAAATTGCTTTTGTCCTGCATGTATGTGGGTGAGTATTCGAGGAGTTTTCAATACTCGGGGCACAAAGGAAATAACAAAAATAATACCAAGATCAAATAAGAGGGAGAACATGAACACGAACACGCAAAAGGGAAATCGAGGGGGGCTGACTGGGGAGAGTAGCAGAAATATTTTGTAATTTCATTTAATGCCGCATGGGCCGCGAATGGGTTCTGTTGTTATAAGAAAATTGCACAAAGGACGAAGGGAGATCCAGGCTGAGGAATAAAGACTAGGGGCGAGACAGAGAGACAATTGAGTGCGTTCTGGGGGGATGTGGAAATGGAAATGGTAAGCTGAAATACCCAATTTCAAATAAAACAGAAGCCCACACAAACATAGAACTTTAAAGAGACTCCCCTGACAGGACGACATTAGTCCGTACGCCGGCCAAGTGTACTATATTCTCTTTACGCGCCCCAATATCCTTTATTTGGCTGCTGTCCCGTGTCCTGCGTACTGTGTGCAATGTCCAATGTCAGATTTTAAATGCTTTCGCCGGCTGGCCGTGGCGCACTTTGTGTGTTTTGCGGGTCAACAGTTTGGCGCTGATCATTATGGCCATGAATGCACTGGCATTCTGTGCCCCAGCCAGAGAAAGGCTAATTGCTGTCGCCGGACAACACACACCACCGCCGACTGTTGCTCCTGGTGTCCCGCTGCTGCTCCCGACGCATATCTCGGCTGCCGCTGGCCAGCAATTATCCCTGCTGCCGTTATTAGCGCAATTCCAGGACAATTATTATCGTTTCCACTGTCGCACACACTCCCGGACAGCCGCCAGCTCCTGTCATGCTCCAATTTCCTTTATGCTAAAATGTTAGTTTGGCGGATTTTGGGGTCAAAAGTTTGGCTTTTTTAATGCTAAATAGGGGCCTTGCGTAAGAACCAAGTAATAATAGGTGTCCTTATACAAGGACTTTTATTTATTTTTAAACCAACCCACTCAAAGTAGGTTTACATTAGGTATAGTAAATCAATATTTGTGTAACATAATTTTTTTGGGTAAATCAAAGTTTTTCAATTATCATAACTCAGCCAAAAATGCATTAATTTTACTTCAGAAACCACTCCTATATTAGTTTTTAGCAGTTAAATAAATCTGCATACTCAGTTTAAAATTCTAAAAAATTCAATTTTTTTTGTCAAAATTTGACAATTTTAACGATGTAACCCCTTATAAAATTTTGACATTTTCAAAAATTTGGAAAGAATTAAATTTTTTCCGCACAAAGCTAGATCGATTCAGCTGTCGATGCTGATCAAGAATATATACTATTTATAGGGTCTGAAATGACTACTTCGCTGTGTTTTAAGCTTCTAACTAAAATTGGGAGTATAAAAATATATTAGGTAAGATCTTATTATACAAATTATAATACCCTGCAACGGTGCAATTAAAAAACAGGTAATAATGCTGATGAAATAAAGTGAGTTATTTCATTTTAATCAGTATGGAAATACAGACTAGTAAATACAAAGTTAAATATAAATTCTGCTACTAGCTTCTGTTCCATACTGAGGAACTCCTTAATTTGGGTAAATGATTGGGCTTCCTTTTCTGTGACGTTTCCAGGGTGGAATCATTTCCCCAAGAGTGACGTGGCCAAAACACAGTATGGCCAAGATGATAACTTTAAGTTGCAACATGGCTTCTGCTTATGTCTAATGCAAGTGGGGGACTGCTCTATTTAAGTGTCTATAATTTATACAAGGAATAATTTAATTTATTGGAACAAATCCATTTACTTCATTGTTTACTTATATAAACAAAATGGAAAGAACAACAAAATGAAAGCAATCATATGTTAATTTTTAAAAGGTTAACACATTTGCATACTCAATTGAACATTTAATAAAATTCAACCCCTTTTGTAAGACCTGACTAGATCAACTCGGCTGTGCATCCTGATCAAAAATATATGTATATGATTTATAGGGTCGAAAATGACTGCTTCACAGTACTTTAAACTTATAATTAAAATAAAATAACCCTGCAAGGCTATAATGAACGAACGCGTAATAATTCTGATGAAATTAAATAGGTATTTCCATTTTAATCAGTATCGAAATACAGACCAGTAAATAAAAAACCGAAATATAAATTCATACTGAGTGCTTCACCAACTTGGGGTGGAAGATTCGCGCGGATCGTTGACTGGGGATCCCGTCTGTTTGCGTTGTGGAGGCCACCTACCAAAAGCGACGTGGCTTAAGCACAGTAAGGCCAAGATGATAACTTTAAGATGCAACATGGCTGGAGCTTATGCCTAATGCAAATGGGAGATTGCTCTATTTATGTGTCTATAATTTATACAAGGAATAATTTCATTAAATGGAACAAATCCATTTACTTATATAAACAAAGTGAAAGAAATAACTAAACATTAAGGAAGAGAAAGAAGTGATATTAAAAAAAAATGTGTAAAGAATCTGAATGCGTTATAATATTTGTGCCTTTATCTATATTGTAGATTAGATAGAGTAAAATTCGACAAATTCTATAGGCCATTTAAACATTTATACAATTTTAAAAAAATGTTGAAAAATTTAAATTTTTGGCGACAACGCTAGATCGATTCAGCTGTTCATGCTGATCAAGAATGTATATAATTTATAGGGTCGGAGATGAATCCTTCACTGCGTTTGCAACGTTTTTGTCTGAAATTATGATACCCTTCAAAGACTTATAAAAATACCAAGTGAGAGTTTCCTCAATTTAGATAACTTAGTTAGAGAAGCTAGTGTAAGATATCCATGTGTCCTGGACTTAGTGCAGCTTAGGCAACATGAGTGCTCATCCTTGTTTAGTTCATTAGCCAGGACTGTTGTTTACGTCGACATTCTCAGGTGCATATGAAAATCGCCTCGATACGGGTCAATCGTAATCCGCTCAGTCTCGTTTCATTTCAAAAGCCAATCGATTCCCTTTGCTCCACTTCGTTTTCCAACTGATTCTCTTTAGACAAGAAAAAACAGCCGTCAACCATTTTAAGGCTAGCAAAAACGTAGAAGATTTCCCTTCGATTTTCCTTGCTTTTACCGGCCATTTCTACGATTACAGGGATGTGTGTGTGGGTGTGGGAGTGTGTGTGTGTAGGGAGGTGTTGCCAACCTGCTGTGCTGGGCCATTCTTGGCCAGAAATTATGCAAGTCGTTCCACAAATATGTCGAGGAATGGTCGCGGCAGGATGCATGCGTAGTTGAAAGTGCGTTGGTGGTGCCTTTCCATGTTTGCCATGCACTTTGTCAGCGGCACAGGATTGCCGACTGCTGAGTCCCCTTCGCCATGGCCACAGCCCGCAAATCCTTTGAGAAATGTCAATGTTTGTGTAGCAGCCCATTCGCGATGCTTGCTTCGCCCACTAAATGGCGGCAACTGCCTCGATTTTGGGCCCTGCCAACACAACACACAAATCTCGAATACGCAAAACGGGAATGGAACCAGACTGGGGGGTTCCAACTAACGGACGCATCCTGGCGGAAGTTTGGCCATTGCTGGGCATGCTTTTTTGCTCTTTTTCCGCTTCCTTGCTCCTTTTTTTTAAAGAGTTGTGGGGGTTCCCAGAGAAAATAAACAAAAGACCGCGTCGCCGAAGACAATACAGGTTGCCCAGCTCCAAAAAAAAAGGAATAAAAGGGAAAATCGGACGAAAAGCAAAGCTTAATAAAAACAGCGAAACGGGAGAAAACAGGGAAAGTCGAAAAAAGCGTTTATATGTTTTCCCCTCAAAGTAGCAAAACGCAATAATAAATATTTGCGGTCATATTGGTCAGTCGGTTAGGGAAAATTGCTTGAAGCCGGAAGAAAATAATGCAAAAGGAGTGAACCCCTTTTGGACACCCCTTAATGTATATACTACTTACATTTTGTTTTATTTATTGAATAATCAATAGACACTACAAAGATAGTCTAGTCTATATTTTATGCCCTTGCAGGATATTATAATTTCGGTCAAAAGCAACAAGCTCAGTGAAGGATTCGTTTCCGATCCTATAAATCATATATATTATTGATCAACATCGACAGCAGAATCGATCTAGCTTTGTCTGGATAAAATTTAATTTTTTCACAATTTTCGAAAATTTCAAAATTTTATAAGGGGTTACATCATTAAAATAGTCAAATTTTGACAAAAAATTGAATTTTCTAAAATTTGAAATTGAGTATGCAGATTTATTAACGCAATAAAAACTAACATAGGAATGGGTTTTGAATTAAAATTAATGCATTTTTGGCTTAATTATGAGATTTTAAAGCATTGATTTGTTGAAAAAATTGTCATATAAAAATCTGAATTAATATTGATCAATGAATGTGAATGTTTTATTCGATTCGATCCTATAATTTATTTGCCAACTGCAATGGTATAAAATTGGCTTCCCAAAGTTAGTATCCTTTCTTTCCTTATTTTATTTTATAATCAGAAAACATAAAATGGGTACGGAATATTCGTATAAATGATTCCTTATAGCTTGATCTGTGTTGGCTACTGTATTCATTCTTCTCTTCTATAAATTTCCTTGGTTTTTTCTCGCAACAGCACACTTTTGCTTAACGAATTTTAGAGTTCTGTTAGGCTTTCTTATTTTCACCGTGCATTGCCTGCGGCAATTGTGGCGCGCATAATTGTGGCCAGGCGCCGGGCAATGCCGCCAAAACCCCCCACGCTGCGCAGCCTCCATATTTGACCATACTTCATACCCATTCAAAGCCAGCAACAACAATGCCAAAATTGGCAACAGCCAGCCAAACAAGCTGCCCGCAGGCCAACAGCCACGACCAACAATGTTAAGCTGCAAAACAAAAGGCCAAAGCCAAAGTTGGCGCGGCCAAAAGGCGGCTCTCGGTGGGTTTAAGGGAAGTGGGCAGTGCCTTTAGAGGACGAAGGGTGGCAAGGTGAATCGCTCGCTGGCATTGTAAATAATTCGATGCCGCTAAAAACCACACTAAGCAACCGTGGCTCCAGTTCGCCATGGTTGTGGCTTTCAACGTTCTCTCAGGTTGGCATCATTTTTCACCTGACTGAGAAGAAGGTACGCACATTTATTTGGTGACCCCATCCCCACATTGAAGGATTTAATCGAACAACATCTAATCCATGGCATTGAGTGGCGTTTAATGGTCGAGAGTTGCTTCATTTTACCTTCTTTTTTTTGTTTAGTTTTCAATTTGATGGTCATGGGAGAAAGTTTAACTCAAAGCGTCGAGCTACCGAAAAATCCATAAAATTTAAATGCAAATTTATGGACGTGTGTGTCCTGGGGATTCGCTCGTTACCAGGAAGAGGAAATGAGAAAGACGAGACCCGGTGAAGTGCGAAGGTGAAGGGGGAAAGGAAGGTGAAAGGCAGGCAGTGACAGCAGTGGCGTGTGAAGGGCCGCAAGCATGTGAATAATGGCCATCAGCATGTGCCTTGAAGGCTGCTTTGTTAATTAGAAAGTTTCACTTTCTTCTCCTGCCCGCTTCCCTATACCATTTTTAAGGCGACTAACACATTTGGTCTGGTCTCCTACCTGCAGGTTCTGCTGCCCAGCTAGAAAACACAGAGCTGTCGAATGGGATCGTCCAGGACGATCCGGAGATAATCGCCCAGCAAAACGACAAAGTCGATATACTTTTGCATTGTATTAAATCATCGACTCGAGATGCCGCCTGGATTTATGGACAAGTGCTGTGCCAAATTATTCGTGATTTAGTGCCACCGAATGAAATATTGACGAAGGTCATAAAGGAGTTTGTGGCCATAAATCAACCGCATGGCGATGTTATTGCCATGATTGTGTATCAGGTGAGTGGTAGCCAAAGATCTAGTAAAGTAAAAGGTAAAGGTAAAGGTAAAGACGCTGTCCAGTGCCCTGCAGGCAGTCGTGCGTGGCTCTGAATGAATTCATGTGTAGGGTTCATTTTACGAGTCCAGCTCCCAAAATCCTTATCCGGTCTGTGCCCGGAGACCGGAACGGAATGGGGCCAATGCAGCGCTAATGTTTGGACTTGCCACAAGTCGAAAGGGTAAAATACTTGCCGGCAGCTGCCATCTGCCTTCGGGAGGCAGGCCCACCACATGTGTGCGTGTGCGTATGCGTCTGTGGAATTTTTGGCAGCTTGAAAATTAATGGAATTCATGGCTACCGCTTGGCCCCTGTCCAGCGGCAGGTGGCGAGTATGTGGGTCAATGTGAACCAGAGTGGCCGACTCTGGCACTGTGGTGCCATAAAATGTTTTCATTAAGTTCAAGGTTACCCGATGGTTTTGCGGAGCGTGCATGGAAATTAATAAAACCGAGCTCGGCACTCGCCCAGGGATTGAGCATTGGAAGCTGGAGACTGGAGGCTGGAACCTCTTATCGCTGGATCCCGGAGCGCCACAATTTGCACTGTCATTTGCAGGCAAGGCCCGCCGGTGCGGACCGGATTCCCAAGCAACGGAATTTCATTAGCCAACTTTCTGCCACAAAGTATGCTGCCGACTTTTGTGGCCTCCCCCCAAGAACGCACCTTTTGGAGCAGCGCAATAAAATTTAATTTCCGTATTGTCGGCATGGCCTGGCTTTTATTTAAGCATTTCGTTGCCACTCACTAACCCGTTCCCTGTCCTACTCTCTCCCTCTCCACAGGTCTTTCGCTCCGCCATCGACTCGTCGTACCTGCAGATGCTCCAGGACTGGCTGATCTGCACACTGCCAACGTTCCTGGCCCAGCCGGAGCAGCAAGGTGTCTGGGGTCTCAGCGTCATCTTTTTATCCGCCTCCATAAATCTGCATTTGATTAAACTATTTCCGCTGGTGCTCGGCATCGGGGCGGCCAACGCGGCGACAACAGGCACAGCGGCATCAGCGGCATCAGCGACGGCCCGAAAATTGGGTCAACACGAAATTGCATTGTTCGTGACAGCTGCACAAGATTTCCATGCGAAATTGAGTGGCGAGCAGCGGGAGCGCTTCCGCGAGGCATTCACCAGCTACGAGCGGAGTCAAGTCTACGGCAGGATGTTGCAGCGACTATAGGGCTGTGGCAGCCTGTGATGCGAAAGCGATAGTGATAGCGATTGCGATAGCATATAATCATTTGGAGTGCTCACCGAGAGCACAGATATTTATCTTACGTTTAATTCCAATTGCAGAAGCAGGACGAAGGGAGTTTGGGGTCCAAACTTGCTCCAAAGACAAGCGCAAGCGTGAATAACTAATTGCCCCGAGCTGTGGAGAAAGTTTTGTGCGGATGCCGGACATGCGGCCCTTCTTCGCGGCCAAAAGAGAACGAAAAGTTTTTTAATAGTTGGCGAATTCGAAATTAATTTATGCTTTACATTATGTGTAACTAATATTTAAATTATTGCAAACGAATGTACGCCACCCCCGCTTGACTTCCCCCATCTGGTCGAAAGTTTAACGAGGCCACCAGGAGGAGAGCGACCCGCAATTAATTCCCGTGGCTTTCGACAAGGACCCTGGGCAAGGACCAGGCGACGGAAATTATGTTCTTGTCAGTTTTTTGGTAAAGTTTATCATTTATTTATTATAACGACGCTGCCCAAGCTAGGCAAAAAAAGGGGGTAACGAACCTCGCCAAAGGACGCTGGTGAATATTAGCGGCTTAACCAATTGCCGGCTAATTCCTAATCAAAATTACTTAAAAATTCCATTATGCTAACCCTAAACCTTATCCACTTGTGTAATCAATGTAACAATGTAACAACCATATTGTTTAACGAAATAAAATCACAAATGAAAAGCACTTCTCTCGAGTACTATCACTTAAAGGAAAGGGATATATACGATATTTGATTTTTAAAATGCATAAAAGCCGGCCCAAGTACTTTGCCAACTAACCGAGAAATTCGTTTTTGGATTACCGAACTATATGCAAATCGGTTCGAACTTTTGCGCTTTTACCTCCGCTGGCACATGTACCGGGGCTCCAGTGCGTTCTCTTCGTTTTGCAGTCTTAACAACAAAGCGCATTAATGTTGACAAAATGTTTCTTCCTCAAACTATCGAAGAAGTGCTGGACTGGAAAAACTAAAGTAGTTCAGCTAACTGGGTTTGTGCTTGAATATCAGATGCTCTGGATGGAAATTATGCAAAAGTCTGTTCTGGCTTTGTTTTAATAAAATATTGGTAATGTTACAAACTGTTTTTCTATTAAATGTTGTCATTGGTGAGATTATGGACATACGGTGTAGTGTAAAGGCTATTATTTTATAAACTTTTAATGCTTATTAAAAGGAGTCACTCTGACCCCTAAGGATTATATTTTATAAAGGGGATTCAGATAAGTAAAGTGGGGTTACTTAATTTGTTTCATTAAAGCTAATATTTGGTTTTTACAGAGTTTAGCGAAGTAGGTAATCATTATCTTCTGTCACTAGATTAAATATTAAATATATTTCGACAAAGAAAGCTCAGTCTTTGGATATACCTCATCTGCAGTGTATGAAGATCCTTTTTGGTGCGTTACCTTTTGTCGGTTGCGTGTGTTTGTATGCCGAATTTGACAGATAAACTTTCGAATCGAGTGTATGTGCCGGCATGTGTGTATGGTGTGTGTGCTCTCGACAGAAGGACGGAAGGAAGGTGGCTTTGTGTGCATGCAAAGCTTGCCGGAAATTTGCCAGTTCAACGCGAAACGACAAAAAGAAGGAAGTTGCAGCGCACACACCGAAATGAACTGCAAAGCTGTTCAAACTTGTTTTTCTGCTTTTTTGGCGCGCCACCGCATTATGCAATCGTGGGCGTGTGCCCTTAGTGTGTGTCTCCAACTTGAGCCCCCTTTCTGCTCCCCTTCCTTCTGCTCCACTGATATTCAGTGTCAAGACAATGTGCCCATTGTCGCCATTAAGCTGCCAGCTGAGGAGGCCAAGAGGCAATTTGGCCACTTCTTGCCGTCTGGGCCATAAACTGCAACATTTCGGCTATCAGCATTTGGTTACGCTTCATTTGGCCAAAAACGGGATTGGGCTTGGGCACAGATTGTGCCACTTCTCCCTTTTCCCACCTTCTTGCCGCTTAGGGATTAGTCCGGTGGTGGCAAGTAAGTGACCGAGCGCAGGTATCAAGTATACGCCCCGGTGGCCAGGCCATGAAAGGATGCCACAGCTGCAGCAGCAGCAGGGAAACATTGAGAATGTGGAACACTAAAGCGTGTTTCGTTGTCACTCGTTACCTGGCTCTCTGTTGCTGTTAAACCTTAAACTCACCACGATTCGGAGTTGTTCTCTTTAGTGTGGCACTCTCTTAAACCAGGCGCTCTCTCTCTCGCTCTGTCTCTCTCACGGCTTAGAGACTAGGTCAGTAGTGTAACAGTCTTCCGTTTCCGTTTCCATTCCATTCCAGCACGCCCACGTAACGGTAACTGCTTGGTATGCAGCCAGCACAACGGGATGTGCCGCAATTTCTTAATACTCGAATGGCTTTAAGCGGTAGGGACACAAAGTGAGAGAGAGATAGAGAGAGGTGGAGGGAGAAAGCGACAACTGTTACACTCACAGTTATGATTATTGTTATTATGATAATGTCAGCGGCATAAGCAGCCGCCGTCGGTGTGGTCGCTGTTGTTCTCAGCTTTGGCGTTATTGTTTGGCTATGAAAATGCTTTATCCTTGGACTGCGACGGAACGGGAAGGGAAAGCCAAGCAAGTTTGGCCAGCGAAGCGTGCGCTTTTATGGCGCCAATAGTTGCCTTTAGCTTTATTTCGCCAACTTCCTGCTGCTCGCTAGCAAATCGAATCGATCCATTGATTTTCCCGCCTCATTTTGCAGGGTCCTTTATTTCGAACACCCTGCTCCTGCTCCTGCTCCTTCACGCTGAGCCTCCTCGACGAAGCTCATTTGAAATTTTGATTACATTGCCAACGAGCCGAAGAACCTGTCAGCGACTGATACGCATTAATTACGTTACCTGGTGTAAAAAGCAACGCCTCGACACTAGGCGACGGGGCCCGCTTATTAAAATTGAATAAATTATGCAAAAGTGCGCGTGGTGGCTCCACTTGGCGGCAGTGTTTCAGCCAATACCCTCACTCCTCCAGGATGGGATGGGATCCGCGTGAGATGGACAACGCATAATTAATTCCGGTCAGTCGCCAGAGCTGAGCGAAATGCAATCAGCATCTTGAGCCTGCTGCCAAAGTCAGGGGTTCCTTAATGGAACACATACCTCACAAGGAGTACTTTAAACTGATGTCTGATGTCTCTGGGATACTTCAAAAAGGGAACATGAATGATGTCTTCCTTAACTGGTCCACAATAATCTTATTTACATATATATCAACTAGAATCCTTATATTATCCTTCAGGGTACTCTAATTTCAGCCAAAAACATTGCAAACAAAGTGAAGGAGTCGTTTCGGACCCTATATATCATATATATTCTTGATCAGCATCGACAGCAGAATCGATCTAGCTATGTCTGGATAAAATTTAAATTTTTCCAAAATTTGGAAAATTTCAAAATTTTATAAGGGGTTACATCATTAAAATTGTCAAAATTTGACAAAAAATTGAATGTTCTAAAATTTGAAATTGGGTAAGCAGATTTATTAAGCTACTAAAAACTAACATAGGAGTGGTTTCTGAATTGAAATTAATGCATTTTTAGCTTAGTTATGAGATTTTTAAACATTGATTTGTACAAAAAATTTCATATAAAAATATTGATAATATCGATTCAAAATATGGTATTATAACTTCAGTCAGAAGCTTGTAGAATGTGATGGAGACATTTCCGACCCTATAAATTATATATTTTCTTGATCAGCATTAACAGCTGAATCGATCAAGCGTTGTCCGGCAAAAAAATTTTTTTCCAAATTTTTATAAGGGGTTACATCATTAAAATTGTAAAAATTTGGCAAAAAATTTAATATTTTAAATTTAAATAATTAGTATGCAGATTTGTTAACCTAATAAAAACTAGCATAGGAGTGGTTTCTGAATTGAAATTAATGCATTTTCGGCTTAGTAATGGTATTAGAAGAACTTTGATTTACCCAAAAAATTACTATATAGAAATATTGATTTACTATTCCTAAATATTAAAACCCAATATGCTAATATCCTACACAACACAGAAAAGCTTTACCAAATTGATATAAATGCATTTTTGGTTTAGTTATTATAAAATTTGAGGCCAGAACCCACTTGCATCTTGGAGAAATATATAAAAATAATCGGCTTTCAGAAGTAAGTTCCTTTTAAAAAATTATAAACCTTACAATTTCTACTTAATAGTTTCAAAATATGTATGTACATGTAAAAATCAAATTCAGAGAACACAAAAATTTGCATTCCTGGTTGACTTACCTGTGGCTGCACACCAATGGAGACTCCAAGTGGGATCTCCGGAGGCTGAGGAGCACGGGGCCTTAGAATAAATGAATGCCTGAGTGGCTGTGCAAATGAATGCGAGTTCGAGTGATTGCACAAATGCAGCAGGCAGGAGGCAGGAGGCAGGTGGCAGGTGGCAGTTACCTCCCTTCTATCGATATCGATGGCAGCGCGAATATTCGACAAGTATTTCGCTTTCATGTTTCACGCGTCACTAAATGCCCATTTAAACGCCAGAAGCTCGATTCGCTTGCATACATCCTGAGAACTTCATATATATGCTTCTGGCAAAAGTTTAGTTTATACAGCCGCCGGCTTTCATTTAAATTCGAAATAAATAAAGTACGCATGACTGTGGGCTGAGTTAGTTAATTCTTTAATGGCTAATACGGTAACAATATGCCCAATAGGAAGGGTTTTTGTAATACATTAAGTTCGATAACAGTTTCAGAGTGCCATATTATTTAATAATACCCTACGAGTGACTTCATCTAACTCGAGTAGAAAGAAGCGTGTTAGCTTAACATTACAGATTACTGATAGACAATCAAATATAGTTCCTTAAACACTACTTTCTATTTACAACAACTTATTCAACTCTAGACAGAAGAGTACTCTAGAATAGTAACACTTTGTCCCGGGTAAACGCTGGCAGTCCCTTGGTCCAATGGTCCTTTGGTCCTCTGGTTCCATTTAAGGGACACTTGTATATGTCCACCATGGCCCACCTTGGAGATTCACACGCGATGGTGGCGACACATCCTCCAATCGCCTATCGGTCAATCATTTCTCTTTCCTCCAGGAAATTATGCTTAGAGTCCTGTGGTGGATGTCCTGGCGCACGAGGTCTTGCGCGGCGGCGGCAAATCAGATGTGTAGTTCTGATATCGAGGGGAGCAGTTGATGGCCTGCAGGAACAGAAGGACAGGGACTGAGAACACGAAGGAAATGATGCAAAATTGGCAGAGTTTAGCTGTAAAAATATATATATAATGTACTGGTGATGATGGCCCAGTGAGTTCACTGTTCGGGCCACAATATTTGATTAATGATTTGTTGTGATGCAGAGTCACTCTGCAGGAAAATGGAAAATGGCCCAAAAGCTATTCCCTTGTCAAGGCCTCTGGCTGCGATTGTTGCCATCGCTTTGCATTTGAATGATTAGATTTGATTCAATATTCAATTATTAAAGTGGTTTGAGGTGTTGAAATGCCGGCAGACAAAACAGCGACTGGCCCCAGTCGCCTGGCAACCAACTGAGCCGTGAACTGGGAACTGGGAGTTGTGAGCTGGGACTGCCATTAGGAGTGGGTTCTGGACGATTGAGGAGCGAGAGTTTGCATATAAATGATTTATGAATTTGCGCTTTGATTGAACTGCCTGAAATTGTTGATTAGTGCCTCGTCATAGAGACAAACCCCGACCGTAGGTAGAACGGCTCTGGGGAACTGAATTATGGCATTTGAACTGCCAGCAGTTATGGTCCTTGGCTTCCAAGGAGCGCTGTGTGTTCCACATTGTCTCTGTATTTGTCTTAGATGTCCAACACCGGGAAGGCGTTTAAAGCCAAAAAGCCCAAGTGCTTGACTTGAAGAGTAAATATAAATAATAATATCTACAATATGGTTTTAAGTAATACACAAGGAAATACGTTTCAATTCATGCCAATTGATTTATGACTTTTAAACAGACATGCATAAAATGTGAATTATTTAAAACTTTACCAGAGTTGTGCTGAATTTCAAAAAGAAATTTATTAATAAAATATATATAAAAGAATAACAGTCTAAGCCTTACTCTGGTGTCTAAAAGGTAGTTTTCTCTGAACTCACGTCCTGATGCTGCATTGTCCACATGCCAAGCCGCTTGGGTTTAAAACTCTATGAGTTAGTGAAGAAATAAATGAAGACATGAAAAAATCAAGCAATTTGACATATGAATAAGAGCTTGACGACTAACAGAAGGCCCAGCCAGTTGGCCAATTAATCAGATTGACATATTCCAGACCACGTGGTTTCCGGGAAACCAAAAAAAAAAGAAAGAAAAGGAAGATTTCCGAACACGCTCCTGGCAACAATAGTAAAAGAAACAATACAACAATACAACAGCGCGGCAATTTAATTAACGTAATTAATCTAATTTAATGACTTGACAAACACATCAATTAGCGAAAGGCGAACCAAGACCGCGAGTCCAGGAACACAATTTATATGCAAAGTGCCAAAAGCTTTGCGCAAAATAGGGAATTTCCCTGAACCTGAAGCTGAACCAACGGAGCGACTCACGCACCGCGTCGGCAGTGGAAAAACAAATTAAAATATTAAAATTAAGCCACAAAATGATTGAAAGGAAATGTTGTACGTTGCAAAGTAAAACTCGACGGCTGCCTAGCCGCATCGATGCCATTGAGAACACTGTCTTGCCCCGTCCCGCTGTTTCCTGAGCTGTTTGTTTGTGTCTGTTTGTCCCTAAAGTAATTAAAAGTAAGTAAAGCAAAATCACCGCCTCCCCTGCCCAGAGGCTAGGAAGCTGGGACTGGGACTGGGACTGAAAGCGGATGTGGGCGTAACTGTCCTTCCAGTGATTTGCGTCCCGCAACGTTTTTTGTGTTTATGCAAATGGCCGCTGACCAAAAGAATTAATGCGTCCCGAAAGTGAGTTGAATTGGAATGAGCCGGGAGCTGGGAGCAGCCTGTCAGTCTGTTTTTCTCCAAAATGCCGACGACCATCAATGAATTTACAAGCAATGCTATAAAAAAAGACCGGGGAAAAAGAATAAAGGAAAAGCCTGTAATTTCCTTTGGCGTTGCTAATTTGGCTATACCTTTAAATAGCCAACCTTAAGAAATCACTTGTACTTTTAAAGACCAATCAATGTGCGGTTTAATGGAAAATTATGGAATGCAAAAGGATGGTATTTCTCCTCCCGCATATTGCGTGTTTCCTGCCCAGCCTCGTAAACTACTTCGATGCACTTCATTAAATGGACAAGACAAAAGATTTTTACACACACAAACACACGCATCCAATAATGGGAAATATTTTTTCATAACCAGACAGGCAGGGAGGAGGGCTCTTTGTTTTAATGCACAGCAGCTGCGAATTGTAGGTGGAATTGTGTTGCCCTGCTGCCTGGCTATATAAATAGAGATGGACGGTCGAATGATGATCTCGTTGATCCAGTTTGATGGGCATGCCTTTTGCCTGGGATGAAATTGTTCTGTAAATTTCACCTATTTATATCGTAAATATAAATTTGATGCCGATGCCGATGCCCCGATGCCTGCGAAGCGGAGCTAAACTCGACTCGGCCCACGCGGCGTATGCGCGTTTTTCGCACTTAACTCATTAAAACGGCCCCCGAAAATTAATGGGGAAACGCGCCCAGTCTTTTTTTTTTTGTTTTTATTTTTTTGGGAATTTTTTTATCCGCCTCTTTTTTTGCGTGTGCGTGTTTTTGTTCTTCTTCTGTCCATTATTATCGTAAATTATTTAATTGCATTTCAGATTTTGATTTGAAATGAAAACATTTCCACATTTAAAATCTCATTAGGACTCGAAATGGAAATGCGGTTGAGCGGAAATGAGCGAACCACAGTGGCCAAATATAGGAGAATAAAAACGAATATCATAGCATAGGTTTCTTTTTTGTGTTTGCCACTCTATAAATCCATGTGATGCAATGGCAAACTATATAGATAGCGTTGATGATGACTCTCTTAAAAATATGACAAATAAAAAATGCAAAGGGGAAAAACAATGCATTGAAAATATTTCAACGGCAGTCATTGATCCGTCAATATATTGACCCAGCACTCAGATGCCAGGCATTGGAGGACCCTCCAGCGGGCCCCACTCATATGCTCACTCACCTTGTAGAAGGCCTTGCGGAAATTGTCGGAGAGGAAGGCGTAGAGCAGCGGATTGATGCAGGAGCTGCTATATGCCAGTGTCTGAGCACTGACCTGCATGACGACCTTCGGCAGGCTGTTGATTTGGATGACACCCAGTGACTTGAGTAGCAGGATGAGCTGCAGAAAATTTCAATTGAAATTAAATTGTATGTCGGATAGAACAAAAGACACAACTCACCTGAATGGGTAGCCAGAGTGAGGCAAAGGCTATGACCACCACCACAACCAGGCGGGTCACCCGCTTCCGTCCCCGCTGCGACTCCTTGGACATACGTACCCCGCTTCCTTGATGCCACAGCCTCATGATCATACGCACGTACAACCCACTGATGATCATCAGCGGCAGCAAGTAAGAGCTGATGAAGAAGGACACCTGAAAGGTGCGCGGACTTATGTAATCGTTCGGCTTGAAGGTGCACATGCCGAGGCTCCTTTTGCCATCGGACATTACCTGTGAAAATCGATAAAGGGAAATGGAGTAGCTGGTTAGCGAATGGCATGTGTGTGTTCCTCTGAATATTGCGCATACGTCATGTTGGCTGTGACAGTTGCATGGCAGCGAGAACGGACGGAATGGCCAACAGCCAGACGTCGTAAATAAAACCGAAACTGTCATACGGAATAGTTTGGACGTCGGACGTCGACAACTAACTCGCAATCTCACTTTGTCTCTGCTGCTGCTGCTGCTGCTGACATTTGCCTGACAAATGGTTCAGCTGGAGTTGGATTTGGGACTCGTGGCGGGGCGAGGAGAGGGCTTAGATTGGTATATTGGCTAGACGCGACTAGGAGGAGGGTCATAAACTGGCTGGCTGGTGTGTCGTAAAAATATTTGCTGCCTTTGTTTACAATTTTGTTTACAACCCCTCTCCGTTCCCCCTCTGTGATCGATGCATGCGTATGGAAAATCGTATTTAAAAAGTATTCTGCCCATTAATGTTCGAAAAACCCCCAAAAATGCTTACAAAAACTGTTTGTTTATCGCCTCGCCACCGCGTTCTTCTTACACTGACCAAGAGCTATGTTTGGCCCACAAATTGAGTTCGGATCTGGGCAACGTCAAGTGTTCAAGGCCGGCAAAGTATGGAGCAGACAAATCATCGCCAGACCCTACGCTGATTTATGGGTTAATTTGCCCGCGCTTGTTCACCAAATCCAAAGACTTAATAGACTTGACAGGCCATTAATGCGTTTTTCTCGTTTTTCTTTTTTTTGTTAAGGGGGAGAAAAAGACCAATCCTAGTCCAACCCCCGCACAGCTGTCAATCAAAGCCATGACCTGGAGATCTCATATCTAGTTACGCAGTCAGACATTCAGACATATGTGGCCATTGCGTTTATGATTGTTACTTATCGATTTCTAATAAAAAGATAATGGCACTCGCACACAGATAATGGCATTGGCACACACAACCCACCGATATTTGCATGTGTTTTGGGAAGGGGAGAGGCAATGTAATATGAAAATAATTAATGGCAAACTGTTAATTAACATGTTGATCAAACATGACTTAATTATGCCTTTTTATCGCATGTCCCTGTGTATTTGTACACGCACGACCAGATAACAAAGCAAAGCACACATATGAGCATTCAATTTGGCCGGCTGTTTTTCCAGCTTAATCCTTAGACAAAGCAAAGCAAACACATAAACAAACAATAATGCGACCCACTGGACGCAGTACCCAGACCCCAGTCCCCCACGCAAACAAGGCGCACAAAAACCGTGCCAGAACAAAATGCCGAAGCGTGAAATGCCATTTAATAAAATATTAGGTTACAATAACAAGGCCAGAGCAACAGCCAGAAAATCAGGAGAGCAGGAGCAGGAGCGATGGGCCATCTCATAGATAAAATAGCTCAGGGCTCAGGCGACAACGATGAGATACGTTTAATTAGCCGCGACTCTTACGCTCTACGTCCTACATTCCCTGGCCAAAATGAACAAAATAACAACAACCACGAAAAAAAGCTTCTCCCAATAACACAAATAAAAAGTTGGTCCGTGTGTGATGTGGGAATTGGTTGTCGTGGCTGTGGGAAAACAGCTGGGAAAACGCCCCCGGATACTTGGTGACATTATCGGAAAAATAACCCTGTGCTGGGCCGTGATTAGGTGATGTCCATAATGATGAAACCGAATAGGCGTAATGGGAATACATTACAAGACCTCAGCGGCTAATTAATACTTTGTGTCACACCCAGATTCTGAGAAATTTATGACAACAAGAAATCATATTAGGAACCTCTTGTTAAAAGGGTTTGTTAACGTGATTAGGCAGTAAGAAAAAGAAGTAAACAATATCATTAGGTCTTTCTGGTATACCAATCGAAATAACAACTCCATTTTGACAGCACAACAATCATGCTCCTAGCCATAACAAATCCAATGCGTAGATCTTTGGGCATTGACCATTATTCCGCAATTAAAGCGTTTCTCGCACATCTTTGCGCATCGATCATAAAAGTCTCAAGTGCCTCGCTTGAACACTTCAAGGTCACAACCGTGTCCAGACATTTATCATACGCAGTGTGTGCGCAGAAAGTTTTTGCAAGTGCAAAGTTCTCATAATGGACGCTTTGTTACGACTTATGACTGGCAAAGATTTACGTGCTTTTGGAATCAACAGTTGAACCCGGGAAAATAGGCAGTCACTACACTCAAGAATGGGGCGATCTGCGTGGCTGCCATCGCCAGTTGGCAAGTGTTTCTCGCTGGCTATCTGCTCTATAATTAAAAATTTATGAATTCAAAATAGCAAATTAGTAACAAAAACAAATCGGGCGCCGCGCAACGAGCGAAATTTTCAATATAAACACAAAACAGAAAACAAGATAAAAAGGCGAATCTTTAATGATTTGTATCAGGATCAGTCGAGGCAGACGTGGGGCGCGGAGCGGGAACACCCTCACCTTCGGAACACAATGCGAACTATCATCTATCTATATAGAGAACCCAGCAGCATTGACGCGCGGCTCGAGGAATCTAACGAGGTGACGATGATGGAAAGCAATAAATTTGCCTGGCCCGTGTTCTTCGCAGCAGATTTAGGCGCAGCAGGCAACCGGGCAACCAGGAATAGGAATCCCCACCACCTCCCACGTTCATCCACTTACCGCGAAATCGTTTATGAAGGCCACGGGCACCGAGACGACCAGTATCACCACCCAGAGTGTGACTATTGCGACCATGGTGATGTTTTCCGTACGCATCATTCGCGATCGAATGGGATGGACAACGGCCAGGAAGCGATCGATGGACATTAGCACCAACGTGTAGATCGAAGCAAAGGCCGTTACCACAATTAAATACTGGACGCATCGGCACCAGATTCCTCCAAAGGGCCAATAGTCCGTGACATAGTCGGCGGCCGTGAAGGGAATGCAAAGAATCACGAACAATAGATCCGCTGCAGCCAGGTTTACGATCATTAGGTTAGTGGTCGATCTCATATTATTATTAAATACCACCACCAGGATAACCAGCAGGTTGCCCAAGAATCCTGTGATGGCAATGGCCCCAAAGGTGAAGCCCACTAGCCATGGCAGTATGCCCGTGAGGGCCAACCACTCCTCCTCCGTAAAGAAAGAGGTGATATTTTCATCACTTTGGGTGATATTAGCCAGGGATATATTGGCCAGCGTTTCACCGGCTATTAAAGTTGTATTTTCCATCTTGATTGGTTTTTCTTTTTGTATTTATTCTTTCACTTTTTTAAACTTTAATAATTGGCTGGCTCTCGTTACATTTCACTTGATTGACACGGGACATTTTCAATTTTTCCAGCAACTTGGGGCACTTTTTTTCGTTTATCACAGTTCATCGAACTCAAATAACAAATTTTCCAATTAGGAGATTTTCACAAAGCAGCCGCCGTCGCCGCTGCCGCCGCAAAAATTCAATTATCATGCGCAATATTGGTTCCACAGAGACTCGGATTCGTAATGCACACCGGAACCGGAATTGTTCAATCGTTGCGGGTGGCCAAAGCAATTTTGTCCTTGCCCACACACACACGGGAGGACATCGAGGACTCCGAACTGTGGACTACAGAGCGATAAAGGTAATTGTAGCCAGGTAAGACAACAATAAAGGGGGGCCAGGACATCGGCGGCCAAGAAGGACCAAGGCAAAAGGCACGTGCAAATCGGCGCCGACGCAACCAAACTGTGCCGTGTCCGTGTCCGTGTCACACCCTTGACGACAACAAGGTCGAGAACACCTCGTCTGGGTACGGCCCCGCAATCCTTGAGGTCCTCGCTGCACCTACACCATAAATTCAATATGATGTCTTTCTTTGCCGCTCGCTCTGCTTTCTCCGGTGTGTTTGCCTTTCTTCGCTCTTTATTGACAAACGAACGGCATAAATTTTTTGGCTGTCCCGAAACCAACAAAAATAACAAAAATACTCGTTTCGTTTCGTTTCCACAGGTACAATTTACGAGGCTGTTGTTTCACCCAGCAGCGCACGTTTTACAACGAATATAAGAATATTTCGAATTTTGCCCGAGTATTGCCACCGCCTGTTTCCATTTCAATTTCGATTTCTGGGTCTGTTGCTGTTTCGGTTTCGGTTTGGGGCCAATTCGAAAATCCAAACTGCACGCGTTCGTTTCCAGTGCCCAACTGATTGCTGGCTAAGGTCGCAGATGACTACGTCGATGCCGGCAGCAGAAGCGGCATCGCCATCGCCATCGCCATCGCACCAGAACCAGAACCAGACGCAGCGCCGGCAGCGACGCCAGCCTTCTCCCCAGCAAGAATACAAGCAACAATAGCAACGTGCGTGAATGTGGATGTGGAATGTGGCGGCGGCAGTGGAGCCTCGTGGTGGCGTCCGCCGCTCATCATCAGCTGGTCGCCTCTGGAAATGTTTACTCTTCCCCAGCTCCAACTGTTGGCCCGCAATTGTCGGACAATCACTACTGGTACTACCACTGGCCACTCCTCCCGCTGGCAGCCATTCCGCCGGGCCATTGTGCCGCACAGCTGGATGTCGCCCCCGATGTCGTCAGCGTCGGCTGCACAGCTGGCGAAGCTGCCAGCGTCGGGTTTAGTGCTTTGCTTAATTTCTCTGATTAACTGCCGGGGGGCATCCACTGGGGGGGACAAAAAAAAAAATAAAGGCAAACAAAAAGCTCCCGGCACACGCTCCCATCATTGTGGGAGTGGGTTAATGCCATGCACACACCTGCAGACGCCGTGGGACGAGGTGTCACAACATTATATAACCGCAGTCGGCAGAGCTCAATCTTAGCCTAGGCCAGAACCTCATTTACATGCTTTTATTGCCACCACTCACACTCCACAGCTCACACCTGTCACCTGCAGACTTCGGCGGCAACGACAGATGCGACAGAGACGCCAGCGTCTGCGTCAGCGGCAGCTGTGGCCCCATCAAAATCTGCGGCGGCCTGGGCCACGGCTCACTGCACCCCTGACGAGGACGTCGCCAAGCTGATGAGATTAAAAGCGAATTAAGCGCCAGGAACAACAACGAAAACGGCAGTGCCAACGACAACAGCGGCTAAAAAAATAAACGAAACGACAACGGTAAACAGCGAAAAGCACAAGCGGAATTATGTTTATTTAATGTGCAGCACGGTGGATTTAATGAGGTCTTTAATTCTTAATGCAGGTTCATTGCCTATTTAAATGGCCAACAATGGCCTAGAGTTGGTCAAGTTCTCTAATTCTGAATGAGCGCCCAGCTGCGGAGGAGGAGGCCATCTTGTTCGTTCATTCGATTTCATTGCCTACTTTTGGGGCTGCCAGGCAAAATGAACCGGAAACGGAAGTAGTAATAGATGTATGCAAAATACTCTTGTAGAAATTGAATTTTTGCACACAACTAAGCAAAATCTTTGTACATTTTTTAAAGACAGTAAATATTCCCCAAATTTATATATTCGTTTATATTAACCTCTATAACATAATTTTAATATAAAAGAGATTAAGGAGTATTAAGTTCACATAACACACTGGTCCATACAAACAAATCAATATGAGAAATACCCAAATTACTTATCCTTAACTTTAGCTTTAATTTTTCACCCCATTCTGTCCGAAAATTAAAGTTTATATGATTGCAAGCCCCAAACATTCATTTGAATAACCATTAAACCGAAACTTCTGCAAAGGCTTAACAGAAATTGAAAGCATCTCACCAGGCACACACTTAAATTAGCATCTAAATAAATGACTGCCAGGGCATAAGGACCTTTGCAGCCACACACAAACACACAAAGGTACACACTCTCCATCTTTTCGAAGCAACAATTTGTGTGATGCCAGAAAACTTTCGACGTGATTGAAATGCTTTTTAATTTTTCATCAAAATCATTTCATTGCGTCAAAATTGTTTGAGTGCTTGTGCGCGGCATGATAATCCAGAGTCCACACACAACACACACACCCACCATATATCCCAGCAAATATCCCCATATTCACCCACGCAGCGCCCTGGAACACGCCCAAGCTTAACCTTTTTCGTGTGCTGCGATGGATTGGGTTCACTTTTGCCATAATCATGCGATAGGGATTACAAGTCTCTGGCAGGGACACGAACTTTGGCCGTCATCAAGAAATCTACAGTGGGTCAGTGCGCCAGCGAATAGCGCTCTTCGAGTCCAAAGTATTTTAAACTTGAAGATAGCACTTTCTCCACCAATCAATCATTGCTTAATTGCTTGGGTTTATTCAAAATTTATCAAGGTTGGGCCTATATATATATCACCGATTTTACTGTTCAATGCCACTGTGTTCATGGCCAAAGTCAACTTTTGACGAAAATGATGGATTATCGCCTTGTGCGCTAACGTTCACATGTTTTTTATTTACTTGTATTCGAGGCATACTCGTTTTGTGTCCCAAGGCCTGACCCTTTTTTCGGCAGCTGTCTCCCATCGCCGGCGGGTGGGGAATTAATAAATGTAAATCCGCATGAGAGTGCCCAAAAAAGCAGGCAGCAGCGATGCTTAAGCCACACAAAAGACCGCACTAATCGCTTTTTTTTGTGTGTGTTGTTGGTCCGTCCGGGATTTGGATTGGAAATGGAGAGAAGGGTTCCAGAACGACCAGCTTCCAGCTCTGAGCTGCAAGTTTTTGGGTTCGTGGGGAAAAAATAAGATCCAATGGCCGGACGGGGACACAACTTTTACACAGCTTTCGCTATTTAATCATTCAAATTGACTTTTTTCTTGCCTGATGGACGTTAATTTTGAAATCCCTTTTTAAACGCTGCCCGCTCTGCTCCACCTGCCGCTGCCAAGTCCGTGGTTTGCTCCACAACTTCTCTTTACGCTCGCGGCTTATAAGTTTTTTGGCCTTCGCTCATTTTATTTTTATTTTTTTGCACAAATTTCCTTTTTGTTTTCCGCTGGCGCACTTAGAATGCGCTGAGTTTGCATTTGGCTTTCATTTTAGCATTTTTCCGACCGCCTTTCTACTAGCCCTCGCCTCGCCTCGTTTCGAGTTCCGACTTCTTTTTAGTTTTTTAATCAAGATGTTTTAAATGCGGCCACGGCAGTGAATGATGGATTCTTTTTTGTCTTTCCTTTATTTTCTCCCTCTGCTGCTGCCCCTGCAAAGTAAACAGAAAGTTGGTGGTTGGTGGGTTCGGCAAAAGATTTATGCAGATAATAAAATGAGTCTTCGAATGAATAATCAAGTTTTGCATGGTTGGCCAACGGTCCCGCTCATAATTAAGGTCCGTCCTTGAGCCGGGCTCTGGTGGCCGATGATAGCGTAACTTTTTTGAAATGCCAGTACAAATCACTGGACCCGCCGAAAGCAAGGCAAGGACTGCAGCATTTCGACTGGTGGAGGAGTCCTTAAAGTGGTCCGGCAATTTAACCTGCGTTACCTGGACAAACTTTATAGAAAATGAAATTTTCTAGTGCTTCAGCGTTTTATTACCGTTCGTTTGTTGGGACGGGCGGGGTTTATTGTTACCAGCATTCCAGGCGAAGCCCAAGACAAAGGACAATAAAATGTCGCGAGCAGCGGGCGGCCATAACTTACCGGAAACTAAAGAAGGCCAAACACGGTGCCGGAGAGCAAGTGCAACTTGTTAGACTTCCCCGGACTCAGACTCCGGGCCACGTAAGGCGTTTTGTTTTTATTAAGTTCCGTGATAAATGCGATTTTTACGCACAGCTGCAGCGACCACGGCCGGGGGATCCGTCAGTCCGGCGGACACACTTGTTGCCATTGTTGAGATACGAAATTAACTTTAAACGCTTTATTACCACAAGAATGGTGAAACAAAACAAATCTTAAGTTGCAGCTGCACTTCGCAACTCTATAAACTTTTGTTGTCTGCTGTTGTTGCTGATATTGCTCCTGCCGTTGTTGTCTCTGTCTCTGTTTTATTTGACTCTGTTTCCGCCGTCGCCGCTTTTTGTCGCCGGCATCCGGAGGCCATCAAAATTGCCGGAAGCGCGAGCCGGGCAGTCAGTGGCATTGTCATCAACTCAATTACATTTGCGACTCCTTGCCCGGCAGCGGCAATTGCAGCAGGACCCGAGCGGGAGATGGAGATGGAGTGGCAGAAAGGAAGCTAGACGCGACTCGGCTTTTGTCCACTGACGGATGACAGAGCCTTCTAAACAAGCCGCACAATACGCGCAGCGTCGCTGTCTTTTATCTGGCCACGCCCGTCGCGTGCCTCCTGCCCAGTCCCGCCCAGCTCCATTGTGTCCTGTCTCGTGTGACGGATGCGACAGGAAACGCTGCGATTCTTGATAGCCAGCCAGCTAGCAGCAACAAAGGCGCAGACCAGCAAAAAAAAACACAACATGCGGCCCGGAGATGGAGATGGAGCTGGAACTGGAAGCTGAAAGCTGAAGCACCTTTCCGTGTATCTATGGCGCCATAATTTACTGTTTCCCCTGCGCCGCCGTCTGTAATCTATGGCCATGTTGCTTCGGCGGCGGAAATGTTTCACAGAGATTAGCACAACATGTCAACATTTTGATTTACCTGCATGCCCTGCGATTCGCTAGACAGCCAAACACAAACCCCAAGAAGAGGCTTAGACTTGGGTTTCATCGAACGTCAAACCGGCATCATTAGCCGACTTTATGTTTGCCTCTCCATTTCCAATGAAAATTGAAATGACTGCGACACTGCATGCCAGCGACAAGGGGCCAGCACGAGGCGATCCTGGACTGGATTTTCGAGGCACAGGTGCGTCTCGTTGTGAACCAGGTGAGTGTCCATGCGGTGCCATTGCTGGGACATGCTGGCAGTATTGTTCATCCGCAGGCAGGGCTTCAGAGTGACCTCTTGGTGCAAATCCACGCCCAGACAGAACTCCCGCTGTGTGCTCAGCTGTCCGGTGCTGCGAAACAAGCTCCACTGGGTGATGTCATCGCGATAGCAGTTCACCAGGATCAATTGCTGGCGGGAGTCCTTTACCCCGGGGTGATGCAGACACCGATCCTCGTTCCTTAACGTTCCAGTTGCAGCAAACTCATAAAGCATCAAACTGATAAAAGGGATAGCAAAGGTTATTTTTAAATTAATAATACCTCACATAACAGACCACAGAGAGGGAAATTGTTAGCATATAGGAATTATTTGTGTAATTTCTATAGAAAGTTTTAATGAATCTTCATTCATTTAGTTTAAAAATATCTTATTTTCATTGAATGTAATTCCTTTAAACTTGTATAGTTTAACTTTTCAATTTGTGTGATCTTTGTTTACAGTGCACTGACCTTAGTTCGGGACTGACATGCCGCAGATACCAATCGAAGCGATGACACTGGAGTTCCGTCCTCAACTGATGCAGCTGGTGGAAGGTGTGATTCAATGGAATTCGCCTGGCCGCCGGCTTCAATGCGTAGAACATATTTTTGTAGTCGTCCAGCCAGGACTCGGCTATGATTTTTGAGTTGCTGGGGGTGGCGGCAAACCGGAAGGCGAGTCCAATCAGCATGTGATAGGAATGTTTATATTAAACAGACGCTGTGATGGAGTAAATTGAAAAATTCCAGAGGGCAGTGCGGCAATTTCACACCAAATCCCCGACCTCGACTCACTGCAGATAGGTTGCCTGGGCGGGACTCAGTTCCAGCTCCTGCTCCTCCTCCTGCTGGTGGTGTTGCTGCTGCTGTTCGTGGGAGTGTGGCGGAAAGTCAAAGGCATGGTGTCGGCGAAAAATGTGTCCGATTCGACTGCAGGGCACGATCTCAATTTGTCCGCCGCAAAGCCACAATTTAATGGCCAGCTCGATGGACTCACCGCCCCAGATCTGCAAGGATAAAAGCCCAACTGGGGCACTGAGTAAATTCACATCGAAATGCCAGTAGCGGTACCGATGTCGGTGTCAGCGTCAGTCAGAGAAGAGCCACATTCCTGACCTCGACACTAGCAATTAGAGCACTTGACACCGGCTAATTAGCTTTTCTCACCTTCAGATTCGAGTTGAAGCTGCCGAGCTTAAGGAACCACTTGCGTGACATCATCAGTACGCCGCCAGAGGAGACGGGACTCTTGAAGGGATGCTCGGGCAGCTCTTGGTTTGCCAGATCGCGCTTCAGCCAGTGGAAGTGCAGGGACCAATCAAATCCACCCTTAAGCAACTCGTTGCCCTTCTTGTAGCCCAAAGTGACGGGGTCAATGAGGTCCAGCACGGGACTGACCGCCAGATTGGGTTTTAGGGCCAGCCTTTCCAGCAGCGGTTCCAGCCAGCCCTCGTTCACCTCGCAGTGGCTGTCCAGGAAGAGTACGTAGTCGCCACTCGCCTGGATGGCACCCATATTTCGAGACCAAATCAGACCCTTGCGTCTTTGGTTGGTCAGGAAGAAGAACCACGGGCGACCTTGTGAGCCCAACCCAGGCCGTAGGTCCTCGAAGAGGGTTTCTGTTAATAAAGCGATAAGTGCTTCGCAAGGGTCGGGATAGGGTTCAAATAACCTACTGTCCTGGCTGGCATCATCCACAAGGATAATCTCGTGCAGATAGTCTGTGGGAGTGCGGCGCAGCAGGGATATTATGGTGCGCAGCAGCATAGAACGTGCCTCATTGTGGAAGCTGATCACCACACTTACTTGGGCTTGCCGAGAGGGCGGCAGGCTGTAGGTATGGCTATCACAGCTAAAATGTTAAATAAATAAAATAATTACATAAGTTATTTATATATCAATTACCTTACCTTGCATGCCTTGTTCTGGGCACATCCCTGATTGCTTCAAGAGTATTGCTCAGCTGAAGATTGTATTGGTAATATTCCTCAGATCGTTTTGGTCCACGAGATATAAATCTCCTCCAGTCACTGTTATTTTCATGAGGTAACCACTAAAAAGTAACTCTTTTTATATTGTGTTCTAATATTTTTGGGAAGTATTCTTCACTCACTTCGCTTCTAGGTTTTTCTGCATGAATCCTGTTTCGCAGAATCACCAGATAGAAGAAAAACTGGCAGATGACACAGATGAAAATATAAAAACTCCAACAGCGTGGTAGAGGGTAAGACCTGCCACCGAACATGACACAAATGTGGAGCAACTGAAGCGTTTCCCAGTTATACACCGAATCCACATGGCGTTCCAATTGGTCACAAGTCGCTTGGGGAACCAAAGCGAAACTAAATCGCTGAGATTGAGACTTCACGCTCGCCGCTGATTATTGCGGTCGCTTTGAGTGAAGAAATGAAAATGTTTATGTGGCAGCCAAAAAAATATTTGTGGCTTTCGTGTTTATCAAATAAATATGTGTCGTCACATGCAAAGCGATATGTGAAGATAAATAACTTTGTTATTTAATGCCATGCTAAGTAAATATCAAATAAAAATCACTTTTAAGTTTCTTTCAACGCTTTTTCAACTACTCTTTCATTACAATTTATTTTCGCCCCATATCATCGCTTTCTGTCACACTCTGTCATTGATAAATGCTCGATAAGTTTGGCAAATATTTGTGTGCAGCTCGCAAGGTGTTAATTGTAGCCAACGAAACTATCTATTACCCATGAGCTGTCACGGGGTTCCACGGCGGAGAGTGGCGGGGCAGCAGGGCATTTTGACAGGTGAGCACAGGTTTGTTATCGATGATGTTTCATTCATGGCCCTTTGGCGCGATTCGCTATCAAATATTTACAGCTTTTTATCCGAGCGCAAAGTGAATTGTGATTGAATATTATTCGTTTTGCAAGAAACTATTTAGCAAATACCACAATCGAACAAAAAATATATCGAAAATCATTGATTAAAAAACATTTGCTATTTGACTTTTGGTGGAGCGAGTTAAACAGCACAGAGGAAGAGTGCTATTTGTTTACATTATTTCTGCATTATAATTGCATTATTTACCATGGCATTTCTGCGCACAGAAGGAGGGGAATATTTTGCAATTCATATTTAGCTGAGCAATTAATTGACTGTAATGATTTGCACAATTTTCCACCACTCTCTCCCCCTCCCCTTCCTGGCACCCTGTGGCCCCAAATTAAATACAAAATGACTTGTTCCCTGTATGCAAATAATTGCTGTTGATTCGATTTGTGACATGATAATGTGATATATAAGCAAATATAGACCATTTTCTATGTCAATCAGTTGATGGCAAATAAATTGACGATGGGATATGTGCCGGAGTGAATTAAATTGGCTACCAAATGGCCGGCGCTTTCATTGAGTTGAGATTCAGTTCTGGTGGCTCTGGTGTTGGTTTCTCGCCTGCACTCGCATATTGGCATTGGCTTTTATGGCCTTTTGTTGCTGCCATAAATATTTCAAAGACCAGCGTCGCGTCGGTTGCCATGAGAGGAGAGGCGAGTGGAAACACAACAGCAAAACAAAAAAAAAAAAAATACAAAATAAAATAAAATGGAAGTTGTAACAACTGCTATCCATCCGCACAGGCACATATATAGCCATGTAGCCATGGCCACTACGGAGGGAGCGTTGTCCATATTGGCTGGTGTCCGAGTGGTTTGTTGGCCTTCCTTCCCTCCTTCCTCCGAGTGATGTGATTTTATTTAAAATTGTTAGGCAAAGCGGAAGTAACTCATTCAGTTAGCAACAAAATCAGGGGCCATGCCCCGGCTAAATTGGAGTGTGACTTCCGCATTGCATTAGGGTTATACTTAGTTGTTGGCCGCTGGCTGATTGACTTACGTGCCCCTCGTTGTGCCCTTCGCTTTCGGTTTGCCGTGGCAACGTATCTACGTGCAGCGGAAATGCATTTTTCCAGTCACGTCTCCTCCACTCAGACAGACGCCAGCCAGATCCGGGTTCGGATCCGCATTCAGCTTCAGCTTCAGCTCTGTTTCATCCTGCTCCTGCTCCCGCTCCTGCTCCTGCTCCTGGTACAGGTAAGACATACGCCCCCGCTGAGTGGCAGCGATGGCCAGGGGATTCTTTTGTTTTCGGCTGCTTGGCGTGGGAATTTATTAAGCCGGGCGTGATCTATGCACCCGAGCTGGGCGAATTAAAGTGCTTTGTAATGAATGCAGAGCTGCCAGGGATACAAGGATATAAGGATTCTGTAGCCGTATATAGAAATGCTTCCACCGGCGCCTAATTGTATGCCGGGTCGCGTGTGCAGCTTAGCAATTAAGCGAGGCAGTGAACAGTTGCCGAATCAAGGACGGCCACGTTTAGCAAAAAAAAAAGCGATATTCAATATGTTTTCAATTTGCCGTTTTTTTCGGTTTTTTTCTCCATCTAGGGCTTGCGTCCTATCAAAGGCAATCGCAAAAGCCGTAAAACAAATAAAAATAAAACGAAATTATGCCAATAAATGAATTATAAGACGCACGCACAACCAACGCGGCGTATACGCAACGCTAGTCAAAGGAACCGGGCGACAATGCCTAAGTGGCATGTAAATGTGTGTCAGCGTCTATGTGGCATGTTGTGTTGTGTGAGTGTTGTGCGACCATGATTATTATACTGCCACTCACACACACACACTTAGACATTTTTGTTCCTGTGTGCGTTATGATAATGTTAACAGCCCGGGCCAGGCTTCTAAAATTTTATTAGCAGGCAGCTTATGGAACTTTGAAAATAATAACAAAAGCATCGCTAAAACCAGCGCAGAAAAAAAAGAGTGCCTGTGCCCCACACTTCTTCTCCTTGTGGCTCCTTGTTAGCCATAAAGAATATTGAGGAAATTGCTTTCTTTGCACTCGAAATGCTCAGCAGACTCAGCCGCTTAGCAGGGTGCACTCATTTCGAAATTGTTGCGTATTATCGTAAAATTTTACGCACACCGACATGTCCTTGCTAGCGCACACATGCACAGTGGCTGCCAAGGACGTGAGCACACATACAAATGCGTTTCGATGCACAGAAAAAAAATTCAATTACTGTCGATGGTCTTTTATTGCAATTACATACAAAAAAGGAGTATTACATGTAGGTATATGGATTTAAATCTCTTTTATGTCATTATGGAATAGAATCTTTTCTAAATAATTAAACTAAATGGAAGCACACCATGAAAATAATTAAATTAATATGAAAATAAAAAAGAAATTTATTAAACTTAATACTAATTATAAACACTTGCTTTAAGGGACACAAATAATGTATTAGGGTGAAAGTTAGGCTTTGAAAGTTGAATCATATCATAAAACCTTAAGTTTATATGATAATTTTCTTGAATAAATATTTAGTAGACATTTTTATTTGTAAATTTTGTTTTCTGTGTTGAAATACATTTCTCGTTTTGCTATTGTCTGTGCCCTCCCTGGAGCAGACGACCGCATTTAGCTTGACAAACATTTCCATATCCAGCTGCAGCCCCCCACATCAGGCCTGCTCCTAAGTGCGTGTGCCAGTTGAAAATATTTGCAAAACAAAACAAAACAAAAAAAATTGCGAGGCGCAAAAAAATGTGCTTGTTTTGGGCCCATTTTATGAACTGCGGTCGCGCCCTTGAATTATTTAGTTTAATTTGCGAAAGTGCTTCTTCCATAAAGTGATATGCGGCTAATTTGCAAGGACCTCTCCGTTCCATTTGCGAGTCGCAAAATCACTGAAAGATCAAAAGAGAGGAGGAGGAGGAGGAGCAGCAGAAAGCAGATGGAACACATGAACGATGGACGTTGGACGGAAATATAATTTCAATGATTTTCCATTTCCAATTCGGGAAAACCATTTTAATGATGTTTACACAGTTTGTATGCGCCCGTCAACATTTATAGCCACATACCCACGTGCTGTTGCCTCTCTCAACATTCGTAGTCACAATCACAGTCACATTATGTGCTTTATTGCGATTGACTAGAACTTTTCACTATGCCCGACGGAGTACTTTAGTTGATGACATTATCGCTGCAATACAAAAGGTTTTTGCCACTGCCACTTCATCTCAGTGTTTCCCCGCCGCCATTCATTCGTCCCGGTTTTTGTCAATGACACTGATTCTGGGCCGGAGACGGAGACTCCGGAGACGGAGACTCCGGCTCCAGCTCCGGCTTTGGCTCTGGTCCGTTCCCATTCCCATTCCCAATCCCGGTGAATGTTGCTAAGCGTCTGCGCGTTTAATGGCTCTCATTGGGAACTTTGATTTGGCAGTGGCGCAGAGGCGGCAGCAATTTTTCATTAATTTGATTGAACCTCAGCCTGGCGAGCGGAAATGAGGCAGAACAATTTAATGTCATATTCGGAAAAAAAAAACGGCCAACAGAAGAAATGCTTTTTGTTTGATGTTCGCTTGTCTAAACCTGGCTTGGAAAATCGTATCATTTAAAATGAGAAATGTGAACACATTGCGTAAAGTGATTATGATATAAATTACTTTCAAAATAAAACTTGAGCTTAGTTACGGTGGCCTCTAAAACAGAAATAGATGTATGTTTGTGTGTGTGGGCCAATTAAGAAGGTTATAAGAGGATCAAGAACAATTTAAGAATTTTTTTGAAACATATGTATGACCACGATGATTTTGAAGTTTCCGTCAGGCATGTTTAAATACACTTGCAACTTGCAAAATAATTAAAAGTTCTATTTGAAAATTTATCGTAAATAAGTTTTCAAATTTTTGTTTTCTTGAAATAAATATTTATCCAGATTTTTATATGGAAGTTTATCAACCATTTAAAATTTAAGAAACTCATAACTCAGCTAAAAATGCATTAATTTTACTTCAGAAACCACTCCTATATTAGTTTTTAGTAGTTTAATAAATCTGCATACTAAGTTTAAAATTTAAAAAAATTAATTTTTTTTGTCAAAATTTGACAATTGTAATGATGTAACCCCTTATAAAATTTCAAAATTTTCAAAAATTTTTTAAAAGTTTAATTTCAGCCTGGCATATCTAGATCGATTCAGCTGTCGATGCTGATCAAGAATATATATTATTTATAGGGTCTGAAATGACTCCTTCGCTGTGTTTTAAGCTTCTAACTAAAATTGGGAGTATACAAATATATTAGGTTAAGATCTTATTATACAAATTATAATACCCTGCAACGGTGCAATGCAAAAACAGGTAATAATGCTGATGAAATAAAGTGAGTTATTACATTTTAATCAGTATGGAAATACAGACTAGTAAATACAAAGTTAAATATAAATTCTGCTACTAGCTTCTGTTCCATACTGAGGAACTCCTTAATTTGGGTAAATGATTGGGCTTCCTTTTCTGTGACGTTTCCAGGGTGGAATCATTTCCCCAAGAGTGACGTGGCCAAAACACAGTATGGCCAAGATGATAACTTTAAGTTGCAACATGGCTTCTGCTTATGTCTAATGCAAGTGGGGGACTGCTCTATTTAAGTGTCTATAATTTATACAAGGAATAATTTAATTTATTGGAACAAATCCATTTACTTCATTGCTTACTTATATAAACAAAATGGAAGGAACAACAAAATGAAAGCAAAAGGTTAACAAATCTGCATACTCAATTGAACATTTAATAAAATTCAAAATTTTGGCAATTTTAACGATTTAACCCCTTTTGTAAGACCTGACTAGATCAACTCGGCTGTTCATCCTGATCAAGAATATATGTATATGATTTATAGGGTCGAAAATGACTGCTTCACAGTACTTTAAACTTATAATTAAAATAAAATAACCCTGCAAGGCTATAATGAACGAACGCGTAATAATTCTGATGAAATTAAATAGGTATTTCCATTTTAATCAGTATCGAAATACAGACCAGTAAATAAAAAACCGAAATATAAATTCATACTGAAGCACTCCTTAGAACCTTAGGGTGGAAGATTCGCGCGGATCGTTGACTGGGGATCCCTTCTGTTTGCGTTGTGGAGGCCACCTACCAAAAGCGACGTGGCTTAAGCACAATAAGGCCAAGATGACAACTTTAAGTTGCAACATGGCTTCAGCTTATGTCTAATGCAAATGGGAGACTGCTCTATTTAAGTATCTTTAATTTATACAAGGAATAATTTCATTTTATGGAACTCATTCATTTACTTATATAAACAAAGTGAAAGAAACAACAAAACATTAAGGAACAGAATGAAGTGATATTAAAAATGTTTAAAGAATTCGAATGCGTTGCAATATTTGTGCCTCTATCTATATTGTGGATTGTGAAGTTCAAGGTGAACAAGTATAAGTACAAGTCGACAACTTCTATGTTTAAACAGGTATATTAAAACAAGAAAGAAACTAGCCTCGGGTAGTTTAAATAACCTTGCAGTTTGCAAAAGAATAAGATAATAGAATTGGAAACCGATCATAGCTTAAAATATTCGCATTTTTTAAATTGAGCTTTTTATGTGACAAATCAATGTTCATAACTAAGCAAAAAATTTTTAAATTTCAATTCGGAAAGCATTCCTATGTTAAGTTTTAATAGACTAACAAATCTGCATACTCAATTTAGCATTTAATAAAATTCAATTTTTTGTCCATTATTGACCATATTAACAATGTAACCCCTTATAAAATTTTCAAAATTTTAATTTTTGCCGGACAACGCTAGATCGATTCAAGATCAAGAATATATATCATTTATAGGGTCGGAAATGACTCCTTCACAGTGTTTGAAGCTTCTGACTTAAATTATAATACCCAGCAACCCAGCAAAATTTAATACGTATTTAAATTTTAATCAGTATTAAAATACAGAGCAGTTAATACAAAATTAAATATCGTGCGACTCCTTAGGGATTTCCGATGGAGACTAACCCTTGGTGAGGATCGACGGATTTACCTTCCGATGGACCTAGGATAGGTATGGGTTGGACGCCAGGCATCAGGTATCATTTTGTCTGGTACAAGTGTGACGTGGCCAAAACACAAGAAGGCCAGGATGATAATCTTAAGTTGCAACATGGGTACAGCTTATGCTTAATGCAAATTGTGAGTGCTGCTCTTTAAGAGCCTAAAATGTGTCCAAAATAATTTAATTTAATGGAACAAATCCATTTACTTCATCGTGTTATTTTATTATATAAACAAAGTAGTGCCAACAACAAAGCAAAAGGGAACAGAAAGATGTGAAATTTAAAATACCTAACGAAACCGACTGCGTTACAATATTGTGGCCTCTATATCGAATTTTTCTATCAGATTTATGCCATTCATTTCGAATTCGTTTTTGTCGTAGATAGTGGAGTACAGGGCGATGCCCGTGAACATTGGACAGTTGTGACCCGCCACATTCACACCACATATCATATTATTGTGGATGAGGGGATTCCCGATGGTTCGCTGACATGTGGTAGTGTACCTATCATTTTTCACACAGATCATGGTATTGTGTGCGATTTCCCCTCGATCATCATTTAAGCGATACCGGCACTCATGCACCGAAAGGGTCCTTGCGTACCACGAGTAAATGCTGTGTCTTTTCCTTATCCAAATGGGCACCTCGATATTGGCGTTGTTCAGGAGCTTGGAGTTGCATAGTTGAACTGAATCATTTGTCAAGACGGAGTCATGCGGAGGTTTATTGAGAAGTATGACGGCCAACAGGGAATCCTCACTTAGCACATTGGTCTCATTTGGGTTTATTCTACGCCCTGTGATTATATTGTTGCTGTACGTCTTCATATTTACTAAATCGGTGTTACTTTCATCGAAGCAGGTGGTCGCCGTTACTACCAGCAATTCAGATATCTGTGTGCCCACGCAGCTATACTTGTTGTCCTGGTAGATGCGAACTATTAACTGGTGGAGATTCACCATCTTGAGGGATTTATTGAGCTGGACCTGTGGTTCCTTGGATTTGCCATAGATTTTGCTTTTCCTAATCCCTTGACTACCGTTTTCTTCTTTCAGGGTCCTTTGAGGGTTATGAAGTTTGTAATCCTTCTGCGTCTTTGGGCTGTGCTGTGGCTTGTAATCAGAGAGCATGTAGCGGTGAAAATGAGTTCCAGTTTCAGCTCCCAGAGCAGCAGAGAGGATAACTTGAAAAATCCAAAACGAAAGCAGACCCATGACTTGATGGAGAATTCGAGAACTGACCAAATCGTCAACGAAAGTATTCCAGTGAGTCTATCAAATCGTTTGGACATGCATCTGTTGAACCTGAAATATATATATTGAAAAAGTATTTGAAACTTATTTTATAGTTTATTGTATATGTTAAGCAGTATAAATTATATATAAGTAGGTCATCGTATTATCAACAATTTTAGATATATAATTATAATCTACAAGCTGTTCTCTTTTTTAATCTCGGACATATTAAGCTGGTCATTTTTCGCCGTAAAGTTAAGATTATTGCCAACATAGAAATTTGGTTTCCGAGTGATAAGGGACTATTCCAAAGGTGACGGGGGACGAGGAATCGATGTATTGTATGGACCCGTGTGCGTGAATGCCCTCAGAGAATCCGTGGCCAGCTGGATGAACTTGATGACGGGTCGCATTGGCAGATATATGTCCATGTTGACGGTTTCAATTGCAGTGCTGCAGTGCTCACCGAACATATTTATGGCGGCCAATTGGTTGCCAACGAGAAGCGGATCCCCAGGACGAGTGCTGCAGGTGGACCTCAATGAGTTACGCTTGTTGCGCACACAGATATAATCTGATCCTTCGCTAGGTAAACGGAAGAGTCTCCTGAGGGCGTGGTAGCTTTGGCATCGCTCGTAGTTCAAGATCACAGTATCCATATGTTTGACCAGATATTCTTGTGGATCCAAAAAGCCAATTTTTACTCTATCTCCCAGTTTCGGGACTTTGTGATAAATTTTAATGTAGCGATAATATTCCCGATCAAGTTTAGACTCCAAGCCCAGGAGGGCCACCGAAGTGATATTCTTTTTGATCCCATTTACAGGCATAAAGAAGGCAATCACCGCATGAGGGTCACTCATCGCAAACTCACCGCCCGTCACAACACCCAAATCACTGGCCCTGTACACGGTCATTTTCATATCATCTCGAAAGCAATGCGACGAAGTGATAACCATCCGGTAGGAGATTAAAGCTCCCGAGCAAATCACAGAGGCATGATGCAACACATGGACATAGTAACTTATGTCCCTATCCGGATCGAAGGGAGGCCGGTGGCTTATTTTGGGCTTTACATTGTGCAGCCTCTCGAGGGCCTCACGATTGTAGTCCACATGATCTTTAGCCCTGTGCCGTTTATTGTAATATGTCGGGCGATGGTAGTTCTCCATGTATTTCTTTATCCAAATGGAGGCGCTGTAATCCAGGACTAGGACCAGCAAAAGACCTGCCATAAACAATTGCATATTAAGCTTGGACTGATATTAAGCAAAGGAACTTATCCGGTTTCACCTAGATTAGACCTGGATAGAAAAGGAGTTAATATCCATGGCAAACTTAATTAGTTTCACTTAAGGCTAAGGGGAAGATATTCACTGAGAATAAAACTTTAAAGCTGATAAACATTATTTTGGAATGATTTCTAAATAAAATTTAAATTTAAAGAAACTCTATTATAGTTTGTGCAACTTGATTAAGTATATACCACACAAGCAGATAATAATATTCCACTATGCAACAAAAAATGTCAAGTGCATTCCTTAGCAATTTCCTGTTCTTACCGTTTCCGGCTAACGGTTTTTCTATCAGAATCTGCAGCAATATTAATTAAAAATGTAGATGAAAGCCAATCGGTAGACACCTTCCTCTCTCTTTATATCTCTCACCCTCTCTCTTTATCGCTCTCTGTCTCCCTCTTGAATCCTGTGTACGTGTCCTTTATTTACCATGACTGGCATTGTTTTGGCATTTGCATTTTTTGCAGCATACTTTTGTGCGCGCCGAAAGTGTATGGCACCCAGGGACAAGGCAAGGCGGCATTGGGCACGCTGCGCATTGAATTATAAACCAAGCATCGATGGCCGTCATTTAACTCTTGCCTTTCCACCGAGTAGCCCGTCCAATGACAACGCCAGACGACATTGTGCCGGATGTGAAAGGCTTAAAAAGGCTGCAAGGACTGCAAAGGTATATGCACAAGATGGCTGGAAAAAAACGCCACCGTACAACGAAGGACATAGATAATTAATTTGCTTTGATTACAGTTGTCTGGGCTCGGCAAAAACTGATTCAGACGCCAGCTCCGAAGCTCTGAAGTGGACTGGCAGACGGAAATTGAAGTGTTTGTAATGTATGCGAGAGGCTGGCACCGCTCGGCCTAGGCGGAGGCTCCTTAGCCTCCGGCAAGAAAACCGAAGGGGCCAAAGGCAATACTTCCACTTCCATCTGGCTCTGGCGTCGACAGCAAAAAGTGACAGCCATGTTGGCAGGCTCGACGATGGCGACGAGTGCGTCTAATTGATGGGCAGCCAAAGGCTTTTCCATGCAAATATGTACCAATGACTGACTGGCAACGGATGGCTCTGGACTTTGCAGGCTGCCTTCTGCCTGCTGCCGGGTCGGGTTCGCTCATCAATTATTTAAAATATGTTACACTTGGCACATAACTTCACTGACAAACACGTGTTATTTCGCCGACCCGTAAGCCGAGCCGAGCCAGTGGCCATAATAGCCGGTCATTATGTTTATGTGCCGTCACTGGGGGACATGACCGGCAGCAGCCACACACCTGACTCGTATCCGGGAAATAAAAAGGATACGGGGCCCGCGCTCAACGACCTTGTCGAAATTTATGCGTACGTGCCCGGCTGAAAAAACGTGGTCGACGACAACCAAACCTCGGGTCATTTATTATTAGCTGTAAAATGCGTGCCCTGAACCGGTTTACTTCCGCCTTTAGTTGGAATTTTAGTGTTTCAGTGAGCTATCTATAAATAATCTCAACTTTCCAGATACGAAATCAAGTGGATCTGAATCTAAAACTCAAGCCATGTCGCGATTTGATAGAGTGGGGTGTGTATAAATAAGAAGGAAAGGTAAGCGTGGGAGAACTGTTACCTCCTTTCTATATTCCTTAAAGTCAAACTCCCAGCTCCCAACTTATAAATGTTTATCTGAAAATCACATACATTCAACTAAAGCTTTCTTGCTTGCTTTCTCTGACACATTTAGGATTTCCAGGGGCAGATTTTAGTTCAGGACTATAATAGTTCCACCTGCAGTTAGTAAATGAAAGAATAATAGTTGTTTTATAATTGATTTCGTATTTGTGTATTTGTATTTTCTTCTATCTCCTTTGTCACACTACGCCATGCAAACCCGTTGTGTTAAAACTGAAGCACTATTATTTACCTAGCTTAAGGGTAGATTTCAGTAGAGGGCGTTGTTCGTGTTTTATTCCAGCGCTGTCGACGGCAAATTAAATGTCACTCACACGCCATGTAAGCCGAGCAAAGATTTTGCAGCTCATTATGCAGCATGACGCAATGAAAAACACAGGGGAGCCTGTGCGATGGAGTTGAGCTTATTTGAATTTACAAGTTGCCGACAACGGACTAATGGCAAATTCAATTTCAAGCGGTGCCGGACGGAGTGCAGAACGCTTTAAAGGCAATCAAAGACAGTTGGCCAACCCAGAGCTGGATCTCTGGCTGGGATTTGGCTGCAGGGTCAGCTGGGCGAGTGCATTTGTCTTGAGCAGCTCAGACATGGACATGGACATGGACACGGCAAAGAGCGAGTTGCGATGGACACGAAATGCCGGCGGCCCGAAAAGTAGATGCAGCAGGATAAGCAGGAGAAAGGAGCTGAAGTTGCAAGGATACAAGGGAGAAGAGCGATCTCAGCGGTGGCGGCTACGTCTTTGATTGCTCCGGCTTTTCTCCTGTCTTCCACTCAAGCACAGTTCGTTGCACATTTGAACATACCCTCGGAAAATAAATGCAAATTTAGCCATGGCAAACACTCGTACTCGTACTCGCACTGGCACTGGCACTGGCTCTAGAACTGGAACTGGAACTGGCCCACTGGCCAGGACATGCGCTGCTCCTTTTACTGCCGCCGCTGCACATTTCCCGAGTGCCAAAGCGCTGCTGCTCTATTTCGCTCCAGTCCCGCTCCTTCGCCCTGCTCTTTCAACATATTTGTATAAATTTTCGATTTTCTGCTTCAATAGTCTGCTGGCGTTCTATAGCTGCTGCTGCTGCTGCTGCTGCTTCTCTACTCGCTCCTCTTCACTTTGTTTATGTCTCAAGAATTCAATATTTTTTCAAACTATTTCTGCTGTTTTCTCCGCACTTGCTTTGTTGTTCTCGCCTCTCAGTTCTCGATTCAATATATAGAATTACTGCCAAAGGATTGAAAACAGCCAAGCTCGCACTCAGACACACACGCACACTTCTCTGGGTTTCGCTTTGAAGAGTCCTGGGGCAAGTTAAAGTAGTTTATCGGTTCGATTTGAGGTGTGGAAGAACGTTGTGAATTTACTTTTCACTCTCACATTTTATATGCTCATTAAATTTTATTGCTCTTATATAGTTCTAAGTCCCTAACAGCACGCCGAACTCGTTTTGTTTTGCCATGAACGTGCTTAAACGCTCCTGCCTCCTGGCTGGCGCCTGTGCTGCCGTTCGCTACTTAATGGCTAATTAGTGGTATAATTTACACCTTAATGACTCTACAACAATGCCAAGGCAACTAGGGGCGGGAGAGCAGCTCCGGCCAAGAAGCCACAGTCAGGAGGGAGCTGAGCCGAGCCGAGTTGAGTTGAGTCGAGTCGAGCAGCTATCTAGTTTAATCCCAGCACCTTGTAACATAGTCCCAGCCTCCCAGGCTGCAGACTCTGGTTGGGATCATGGCCACATTTTATCGCTCGTCTCATATGTATGTGCTTTGCTTTATGTGCAAATCAGCGTCCATTAATAAAGACAGCCAGCGAAACGTTACGCATACGCCGCGTTGCATTAATCACGGCGAAGGATATACTCACATGAGCTCCCAGCAACCGTGCCTATGTATTGTGAGCCTCAGCATCGTGTTAATTTCATCGCAAATGCCTTTTTCAGTATGAAAATTTATGTCTGCCATTTTAGACAGTTTGATTTATGATCACGACTCTGGGTCGGGGATCGGGAATTCGTTAAATTTATTCCCATTGCTGCGGCGACTTTAACCTCTAAGCGGAATTTCCTGAAAGTAATTCATATACTAAATCAATTAATTAGTTGATTGCGGAAACGCATATGGATTTGACTTATATTACATTTTACCAAAGCATTAACCCTTTCAAGACTTCAAATATGCCAGAGCCCGGAGGGTAAAATTACATTTCAATATTTTGCTCAACAAAATTGATTGACTTGCATGCGAGACGAGGCAAAATGTTGTCACGCACTCTAAAATTATTCAAAATGACACACAGCTCGCACACACACTACACACACACACACACACACACTATGTGTGCACCTGACAAAGGCAACTCGCAAAGCTGAACACCGCAGTTCGCAAATGCAATTTGCAAATTGCCATAAAGCTGCAATTGTGTCAAATATTTTAATGCAAAAAGGGTCACAGCAGGAGAGCTCACGGAGCTAGTGACTGGCAATAGTTGAGTGAGGGAGTGAGTGGTACATGCATTCATCGACTCATTCGAGGGACTTGCTAATGGCAACGCCACGCTGCGTATACGCAATGTGTCAGCTATGACATCAGTCGTCGCCCGTTCAAATAAATTCACATTAAAGCCGAGTAGCTATCGGAATGCTTATCGCAAATTCCAACAATTCTGCCCCAAAAAGATCAATTTCAGACCAACATAAAGCCGTTTAGAGCCACAAAATCTAAACGGCTCGCCTTGAATAAAACTAAGGCAACCAAGCTGGGCAATTCAATTTTATTCTCTATTTTTTATTTATGGCCACGGTCCTTAAACCAAAACTCAAAATATATATTTTGGCCAGAGAGCGACAGCAATGCACAGCGACAGCAAGGACAATCGGCAGCGCGTTAAAAACAACCAAAAATATTACAACATTTTAATAGCGAAAATGAAGATTTATTGCCGCCGACGACGGCGTATGACGCCACACAAAAAAAAAAAAAAACGGGGAGCTCAACTAAAAAGCGCGTTTAAAACAAAAGTAAAACAAGGGGCGACTGACCGGCAAAAAACGAGGGAGTCAATTCTGAGATTTATCTATAAAGTCGACTAAGAATTACTTTATATCTATATTTTTCGATTATTCTAGTTTAAGTTAATAAGAAATGGATTTGTTAGTATACAGATTTTGTTATTTTCATTTGATTTTAGAGGTAACAACGAACTAATAACTTTAGGTACTTTTTAAATAAAACTTAATGTTAATTAACTTATTTTCCCTTATTTTACATCGTAGCTTAGATATATTTATTGATTTCGAAATGCTTTATTATTTTGTA